ATTTGAGATATTGGTCAAATAATAATAAAATATTCAATAAAAATGTCATTAATATACTTTTATCATATTTTTTAATAATAATACTTTAACTAATATTTTTAGAACACTAACTACAGAAATCTTGTTCAAAACTTGCCCCTCCATTTTTTCCTTGGTAAAAATAATAATGGCAGAAGTTACTTTTCCCTCTTTTCTTCCCTTCTCTCACATCTTAGCCTCTTCCCATCATCATGTAATCTTTAAACGTTTATAAAGAGAAGAAGGCATCCAAACATTTCCCATTATCAATCATATAGTTAGTTCATTCTAACACTTCTAACCTGGTTATTCTAGTAAGACTATTTTATTCAATAAGATTAATTGAATCACATTTAAAATAAAATGAAGAGAGTGTTATATCAAAGAGTATATTACATACTTACTTAAACACAACAAATTTAATTTATATTTAGTTTAAATATATTTTCAATTTTATATTTTAGCATTTTTTTAGATTAAATATTTTTTATATTTTAGTAAATTATTATTTTTACTTTTACTAACTGACATGACCTGATAAACAAGTTATTTTAAAAAAATAAAACTAAATTTTGTTAAAACACAACCACTAAAAATATATTTAAATCTTTATAATTGATAAAATTAATTTTAAATTATTAAATATAATTAAAATGTATATCTGAATTTAATATTTATATTGAAATATGTAATTTTTATTAAAAAACGTAAGGATTAATTTTAAACTTAGAAAAAAAACTAGGGCTCTCCTTTCGACACTATGAATAGATAGGGTTATCACAAAAAAGTCTATGTGAATCAATATGGGGTTATGCGCATCCTCATTTGACCTTTTGTCTTCGTGCATTAGTCTTTTTTATTCTCTCGAGTTTTCTTGTCTTAGTTGCCATGATAATGCATGAAAAGGAAACCACACATTGATTCCACTTTGCATGAATAATTAAGTGTGCAAACATATCATCTCATTCAATTGTCACAACTTGTTTCCCGAATCTCATTATCTAAAAAACCAAACGTTTTTTTCCCCTTGTTTGTCCTTTTGTCATTTCTCAATCCAACTTTAACTCAAGCAACCACAACCAGAACTCATTGGATCACTACTCTTCAAAATAGTTATTTCACTCACCATTTTGCAGAGAAACCTAAGATTTTTTTTGGGTAATTGAGTGTTGTTTATAAAAAGAATTTGATGTGAAGGGTCCTTGATAAAATTATAATCAAATCCAAGTCTTTCTATTTTTCCTTTTGCCTATTGTTTTTGTTTTACTTATATTGCTAATTAAACCCAAAGTGAGACTAATGGGATATGCTAATTTTTTTCTTTTTTCTTTTTTTTTGGGGGGGGGGGGGGAGGAATATTCAGATAAAGAAAGCTTTTCTTTATATATTAAAAAATAGTATGTTAACCTTAACTAACAATACAAATTCCATATTTTTGGTCCCAAAAAATTCATGATTAATACTTTTATATATTAATTTATTATAAATTTTATCTCAGGAGGTCAATAAAAGAAATTGGGGGGGGGGGGGTTGCCCCACTCAAATATAAAAAACAATGATACTTTCACGCTTTTATATTTTTACTAGCCCTACACCATGGTAAAAACAGAGGAAAGGGAACTTAATTTGAGTCTCTTTCTTTCTTTTTAATCATAAAATGAAAAATCTGAGAGCAGTAGAAAAAGCCAAAGTGTGAGAAAAACATTAATTCAATGTAATCCACCCCCTGGTCAAGGTTATTGGACAGCAATTCTTTGTGAGTTGTGATTAATTAATCTGATTTTTTTTCAAGGTAAGAGAGATTGTAATAATACTGTGCAAAAAATTGAGAATACAAACTTTAACATTTAATTAAAAAAAGGAATCTAATAATATGATAAGTAGATGAAAGCTTAGTTGAAAAAAATGAACATAGTTAAAAGAAGTAATATTATTGGCTCTAAATCTCTCATGGTATGGTAGAGTGTCCCTACAAGCTATTGCAGACTCGATGGAACTTTAGAGAATATTTGGCCACAGTGCATTATTCTGATACCTCGCTTTCTTTTCACTGTAGAGCAGCTGATCCATTGTTGCTTTGTGCCTACATCTCTTCACCCTTATGCCACACATGCCTTCCCTTCCTCTTGTTATTGCCTTAGTTAAGTTACTTTCGTCCCACACATATTGCAGCAACTTAGTTGTCCTTTGCTTCCAATTTTGGTTTATTTTCATAGTACTCCCTCTATGTCACCCATCACTTTTTTATTATTATTTGATTAAATGTGTTAGATGCATGGATTGTTGTTGCAACTTGTGTCCGTATTTGATTATTTTGATTGTGGATGAGGCAACTTTTTAAGGTAATTAGGTATCTTTGTTTATTATTGGTAAAAACATAAAGTTATGTTTGTTTATTAAAAGAGAAATCCTAGGAAGGGAGATGCATTGAAGAATGCTGGCAGCAAATGGTAAAGGTTGATGTGATGAAGAAATTATAATTTTTTTTTATTTCAATTACATGACTTGATATCGACATATTTTGATTAAATAAATTACTCCCATCAATATATTCTAAAAACAAACATCTCTTAAAATTGAAGTTTTATTTTTAATTGTGTATAATTGTGTATTCCCGCAACAGAGTTTAATTCTTAATTAACAGTAGTGGTTAAGTAAATTTTGATATTGTAGATAAATTTGTTTAAGGTTACCATATTTTACGATCTCGAGCACACATATATACTTTTCATAAAGTTAATTTTTTTGTGATTTTTTTTTTCATTCATAAAGTTTAAACTTAAAATTCTAGTTATAAATAATTAAGTTTGTATCACTTGAATCAATCTTTAGTGTTCTTTGCTGGTATTTGATTTCAAATAATACTTTTTAATAATAATAATAATAATAATAATTATTATTATTATTATTATCATTTTTAATCTTTATACCAAAAAAATAAGGTCAAAAGAAATATTTTTATAAATAATTTATTTTTCACACCAGTAACTCAAAGTGTGTTTAATTAGTCGTTTCATTTGATTTTTAACTTATTTAATTCACCTATAAATTTGTTAAATTAAAATAAAAATATTTGATAATTAAATTTTTTACATTAATTCATAACGTTTGCCTCAGTTGTAACTTGGAATAACGCATGGAGTCTTTGACTAATAGTTTTATTTTATTTTTATGTGTATTAAAGGTTTTTCTCATTTGACAGCTAGTTTTTTTTTTAAGATAGAAAGATAATTAAAGAGGTATAATTTTTTCAACAAAACATTTTCTGGTGGTGTCTTTGTTTTATATAGTCTATTATTATTTAATATATTTTTGTCATCATATATTTATTTATATATTTAATATTTGATCTTTAAAGAAAAATATTAGAGTTCAACATTAATTTAAAAAACTTAAAACTATAACTATATAAAAAATATACTTTTTTGTAAAAAAATATATAAAAAATCCATAAGCGTATCTTTGTGTTATTTTATATTTACTAACTGATTTAATAAATAATTTTATTGAATAATTTTAATTTAATAAATTTTTAATTAATTTATCAACTATTTTTATCAAATAAAACTTAATTTGCGTTTGAAAAAGAATGCAAATAAACTAATGCGCATAAATTGGTGTGAACATTACTTTATTTTAGTATATAATAAAACATATTATTCCCATTAAATAGTAACTCCAATCGTTGTCCGTTGTGTCACTTTCAGTTTCCTTTCACGTACTTGATTTTACCAATAACAATTTTTTCTTTTACACAGAGAAAGAAAATTGTTTTAAATAAAAGAAAAAGAAAGTGCAGGTTTTCAACGAATTATCACCACCTGGAGGCCAATTTCGGGCTTGTTAATGATGAAAAAACATGGCTTTTTCCCTCTTGCAATCGCATTATCCGCATGACTTTTCCTTTTGATCAAACATATTTCCCCCAAACATGATTATGTCTGATTTGATCGATAATTAATCATACGAAGCCATCAAAATTGACATCGATGGCTACTTAGAAATGAAGACTCAATATCAAATTATCTACTAATATCTCTCAGTTCCAATGGTTCTCAATATTTGACATGCTATGACTCCAAATACTATTGCACACTATCTTTAAGGCCATAATCTTCAAAGAAACGTTACTTTGCAATTGGCCTTGGGTAAAAGGACTCACACAGGTGTCAGCAATCACTACCCAGCCAGAATGTTCAACTTGTCCACCTCAGACCCCGGAGAACATGCATGAATCACACATGCCAACTACAGTCACCAGAAAAAAATAATATATACAACACCATTTTGCTAAAATTGTTATTTAAGAGTTAATAATACATATGAACATATAATAATAACATGGTTCTCAAATCTTACAAGAATTTAATAACACCAATGTTTTTAAACACAAAAAAACAAACTTTTTGTTTCTGTGTTATTAATAAGAAAGTAAAAAAAATTGATTTTTTAATATAATATGTCAGTTATTAAAAAAAAAAAAATACAATATGACCTGCTTCTCTGTATAGCTGACAACTATGAAGTCATGCACATAAATTTAAACTGAGTTTTGAAATTAAGATTACTGTCCTTACTTTCTCTTTCACTCTCTGTGTTGCCCCCGCTACACTCCACATTTCACAGACACAGTACACACACTCTACTCATCCATAGACCATAGTTCCATCCATCCACACTAACTAGTTTAACTCCAACAACATCAACACCTCTCTCTCTCTGTGACTATCCTTCTCTCTCTCTCTCTAAACTCTGCAAATTTCTAGTGGGCCAAATTTTTTTTTCCATTTTTATCATTCTTTGCACTTACCAAAAGCCAAGAAAAGCTCTAAACTTGCAGAGTGAACACATGGCTAATGACACTGAGACCCAAAAGGCTTGACAAAGAACGGGTTTTGGGTTGAAAGGAAGACCCAGATGCACTCAGAGTCTATTTAAGCATCAAATGAGTTTGAGTTGGTTCATCTCTTGTTGGGGGGTGAATGGGGTGCGTGGTGTCTCAGCTAGCTGCGAAATTCGCCTTTTTTCCACCGTCTCCACCAACGTACCAGCTCAAGAAGAGGGACGACGGCAAGCTCACGGTGGTGTCCACGGCGTCGCCGGCGGTTCCCATTCCTCACGCCGATGATAGCTCCTTGGACGTTTTACTTGTTGACACCAAACATGGGAACAAGATTGTGGCCTTTTATCTAAGGAACCCTTATGCACGCCTCACACTGCTTTATTCTCATGGCAATGCTGCTGACTTGGGTCAACTCTATGATCTCTTCGTGCAACTCAAGGTCAATCTTAGAGTTAATCTCATGGGGTTAGTGGTTTTCTGTTACTTCTAAAAATAATCATAAAAAAAATAAATGAAAATGCTTAAGCCCCTATGTCTTCAGTTTTTGTTATTTTTGTCTTTGTCTGTTCTTTTTTTCGCTTCATTCAAACTCACGAAGTTCCAAGTCCGCACGTTATCACTGACCCTTGTTTTGTAATTATCTTGGCGTTTTTATTTTTACTCCCTCTTTCTCTTTCTTCTAACAAAATATAATTTTTTTTCCAATTATGTTGGGTGGTAGTGCGTTTTGTTTATGTAGCATAGATCTGAAATTAAGTGAATCTAAGTGTGGTTTGGTAGTGTGTTTTTTTAGATCTGGTGGTGAATGAGTGTATCAGAAATTTCATGGCAATGTCAATGCCTTTTACTACATCTTTTCAATCAATGTGGAAAGTAAATGAAGTTGGAGTTTTTGGCACCTGAGGCTGCCTTACCTAAAGAAACAAACAAAAAATGGAAAAGTAAAAGTGAAAGGGAAAAAAATAAAAGTAGTTTGTATTTATGGTTCCTTCTTGGTAGTAGTCCGCAGCAATCTTTTGCTGACCTCTCTTTATCCTCCGTTTCACTTTCTTTCTTCTCTGTTTAAGTACTCAAGTTTTTACCTCTACGGATGGGGACGTAGCATAGCGTTTTCTTGGTGTTTTGTGGTGCTAGAGCCTAGGGCTGCTCTGTCAAAAAATTATGTTTTTTTTAACTCTCTATTTCCAACATTGTTTTCCTTCTGTTTAAAAAGTTTATTATTTTTATTTTGGAAAAGGATAAGTGTATTTTTTACTTGTACTTTTGAAATGCTGTCATCTTCATAATCCTTGTGTTTTGTTGAGTAGATATATTAAGGCATTATTATCAATTGGGAGTTCCGAATTCTACATGACTTAAATTTATTAGTATATATGTAGTGGATCACATTTGCTTCAGAAGTTTCATGGAGATGTGATTGATTAATGATTATTGGGCGTTGAGCTTTAATGAAAGAGCAGAAGTTACATCAATTTAATTTACCAATTGACTTTTCCACTCTATAAATATGACCCCATTTAGGGACTGGATCGAATCAAATTTGGAGATTCACGTGATTAGTTGATATCAATCTTTTAGGGGGCCAACATTTCTAGTCTTAAGTTGAAATTTTGATAATTTTTCTGCAATATTCTATTTGCAGATATGACTACTCTGGATATGGGGCATCTACTGGCAAGGTAGGCCATTCTTTGGCAAATGCTACATTGTATGTTCTGTTATATTGAATGACCAAACACACGGAAGCACAATTTTGTTTTTGCTCAAAGGGTAGTACCTGAACACTGAACAGTGTATGTTATCATACATCACTTTCTATTCTTTGCTCTGAAGACAAAGTAGAGAATCTAGTGATTGTTCTAATTCGATGAGAATAACAGTGGTGTCCTGGGCTCCCCTATTGTAAATTCAATCACTAGGGTCAGAGGGAGACCTGTAACAATGACCTAAAGCAACAAACCACTTAAGTGAACGTGACACCACACCTTCATTCAAAATCAAAAGGCATTAAGTATACGTCTGTTTTCTTTTACTATCATTCAAAGCCTGAGTCTTAACTAATGAAGGACTTCATACTCATACTTGCATTGCCAATGATACCATGGAGGAGTATTTGTAGTTAGCCTAGACTGGAAATTCCAGATTTTATGGTATTCTGATTTATAATAGCCTTGAAATAGCAGTGTGTACATCTGCATTAATTAATACCATACAATACAATGATGCTAAACCTCTGGTTTGATCAGTGTGATGACATAATGGAATTTCCAATTTATGTAATGACATGTGTCTAATTAGATACAAATGGTAATTTTCTGTATCATAAATTTTATGGATGCCATGTCATTGATATGTGATACTAATACTTTCAAATTATATACAGCCTAGTGAATCCAGCACATATGCTGACATAGAGGCAATATATGAATGCCTTGAAACTGAGTATGGAGTTAGCCAAGAAGATGTAATCTTGTATGGGCAATCAGTTGGGAGTGGACCAACACTGCATTTGGCAGCTAAATTGCCAAGGTTGAGAGGTGTGGTTCTGCATAGTGGCATTCTTTCTGGTCTTCGAGTGCTCTGTCATGTGAACTTCACATTTTGCTTCGACATTTATAAGGTAATATATAAGAGGTTATTGATTGAATAAAAGAATGTAGCTTATACTTGAGGACAAGGCCTGAATGCTAAATAAAATATAGGCAATCTGATATAATGCTCTTATAAAAACTGAAGCATGGCCCGAATGTGTAAAATTTTATCTTTTGGTTCCAATGAGAAAAGATCTACTTGTCTTGTATTTTTAGTAATGGGAATTAGAAACAAGTTGAATAACATGAATGATTTCAATTTATTATGCCAAACTTTATGTACTTAAGTTGGAAGAAATTTAAATTTAAAATAAGTATAATGTTCTGTTTCCCACATTATCATATGGTCTAATTGTAATCTCTTATTTGAAATCATGCAGAACATCAACAAAATAAAGAAGGTCAAGTGCCCTGTACTTGTAATACACGTAAGTATATGATGCACTGTAATCACACTGCTTTTCCTCTTTATATTTGTTTCTGTTGACATTTAAAGCAAGTAGTAGAAAAAGCAGTCACTGCACATAATGATTGTCTAGATTTGGAGTTTCTTATTGTATAAGGATAAAGCATAACCCATCATCATGCTGGACCCCATGGTAATAAATAACCGGGAACCTAGAGGTCTTTTCCTTGTTAGGTAGCTAATACAGTATTCCAGTATCGTTTGGGGAAGAACATAAAGAAGTAAGGACTGAGGATAAGGGAAACCCTTAGTGATATTCTTTTCTAGTTAGGATGGTGTATAGTCAAAGTAAATTTGTACTGTTACTCTGGTCTGCTTGTAAAAGAAAAATCAGCTGAGATGATCATGCCTCAAACCAAACATGAACGAGTAGCAACTACATATTTAGAGAGATTTGCTTAATTATTGGTTCATGTTTGATTGGCTTTTGCCATAGTTCCACTGAATGCTTATCAAATGTTTTGTTAGTCAATTTATCATGTTTCATCAGACTATCATCCACTTCTGCAATTAAACTGTTTTGATGGTAATTTTTCCCCTTGGGTCCAGATTACACATGCTTTGCTTTATCTACTTTAATTAGTTTGAACTTCATTATATTGCTTCTATAGAAAATAATCATTTGGAAAATAGATGAAGAATGCCTGTGCAGGCTAACCATTTTTATTTTTCAAGTTAAACTGAAGCTTCTTTGATTTGTAAAAAATAAGCTGGTGATCTTGTTTCCTTGAGCTCTCTGTTAATATATATATATATATATATATACATGACATATCAAATGAGATGGCCGTTTTTATGAGAGGAACACACATGTATATTCTACATGCAGGTTGAATGGAGTAGGAACAAAGCATCCTCTACTTAGATTTCATGCTTAAAATATGCATCTAATTTGTTGTATTAGAAATTTCCTGGGAATAAAATTATAACTGATCTGCTAATTGTTTTACAGGGTACGGAAGATGATGTTGTCAATTGGCTACATGGCAATGGACTTTGGAAAATGGCAAGGGAGTCATATGACCCCTTGTGGATTAAAGGAGGTGGTCACTGCAACTTGGAGCTTTACCCTGATTACATAAGCCATCTTTGCAAATTTATCCAAGAAATGGAGAGTATGACAACCGAGAAGCGCCTGAAAAAGATTCGGCAAAGTGTGAATCTGCAATCAAAGTCAAACACCTGTTCAACTTGTAGATGCTGTAAAATGGAGTGTTGTTGTAGATTCAAGTGTCCTGAATGCTCTAATTGCAGCTGCATAAATTGTTCCTGGTCTCTCGAATGTCCTCAATGCTGTTGTAGACCTACCTGCATGAAGTGTTGCCACTTACCTAAGTTCCCTAGTTGTTTGGGATCAACCTGCTGCACAAAATGCTCAAGGCCTAATTGCTGTCCAAAATGTTCATTGCGTAGCTGCTACCCGAAGTGTGCAAGACCAAGTTGCTGCATGAGTTGTTTTTGTTGGCAATGTTGTGTGGGAAAACACAATGGCACAAATGGAAAACACAATGGCTAATGGTTGTAACATGCTTGTATAGAATGGCCAGTCTTGCTAACACACCCTTCAATATTGTGCAATGGTGTACAAAGAGGAGGAAGTAGTGGATGACAATTGTAGGAAAGTGATATATGATCCAGTGTCCTCTATTTTTTTTAATGTTTATTTGGAGCTTCCTATGTTCTATTGGAATTTTTTACTCATAAACATTGGTGTTTTAATTAACTTTCCATGCAGTTGATGAATGATATCATTGTATCCTATCCTTTTCTAGCTCTCTTGTTTTCTTGTGATACAAGAACATGGACTAGTCTTTTCATTCATCTCGCCTTTACCATGAAAACTTCAGAGATCGCTAAACTTGTATCACCTTTCACTTTAGATTGGTTCAAATGAATACTTCAAAAACAAATATTAAACAAATTTGTAAAACTAACAATGAACAGAACAAACATCTTATTTTATGGTTCATCAAAGCTATTTCAAAGAAATCTTGTTGACCCGAGACGTGTTTGAATTAACATTAAATCCACTCAAATATAAATTTATTTTAAGGCTACAAGTTATAATTCTTACATCGAAATATGGTTTAACGTAAAGTAATTGAGTTTTCAAATACTTACTTGGTAGTATAAAATTATTAAGCCTCCATAGCTAAACTATTTAAACACGATTTTTTTCACATCTTGTTATCGTTTTCAAAATCGGAATCAGTAATACTACAGAATGTGCAATGATGATTATTTCTAAAGATGTGTTTATAACGTGGTGAATTAAGGTGATTTTATTAGTATAGAAAATTTAATTTATTGGTTTATATGTTTTATATCTACGTTTAAAGATAAAAAAAAAATGATTTATTGGGTGCTTTATTTGGTGATAGCTTTGGAACCCATTCGACAAAATAAAGTAGCATCATTTTTTTTATAGTGAAGCCATTTTGACATCATAAATCCAAGCAGTAAGTACACCAAGTTCCCTATACTTCTGTTATCATGCCTTGTCCCTATAATCATGTTCGTCATTTAACCTCTAACTACATGATTAATTAAAAGCCGCATATGATATTTTCCTTTGTACAAAAGGAAATAAGCATCGAAGGTAACATGCCAGTTCTAAGTCTCATCTTCCCTGCATCTCATAGGATAAATGAAGTAAAATAACATAAAATTCTCAAAATATTATATGAATATTTTTATGATTAGAACAAAAGACTGGTTCCATCATATGTACTCTCAAATTTTAAAAATTGTAAATAATCCATTAGAGAACAAAATAACGGCAAAATTTTCTTAAGTTTTCAAGGCATGACGGGTTTTTTATTTTGGGTAAACGTGAGTAAATGAGAATCAAATGCCACAATGGTCCACATTAACGCGTTGCTTTGTCTTTTTCTTAGTTTGATAGAGTTGTGTACTTCAGAGGAAGCAAGGGCCCATGGGGTATGGCATGTTCTAGGGCCAGCACCACCACATGGCCTTTAATTTTTTAGGCCCAAGTAAATACATATTTTGGACCATTATCGCCTTGGCTGATTACCAGGTTCACTCCACATTATAGTTTTGAAAAGCCTTAATTACAGTTATTTTATTATATAAACACTTAAATTAAAAATCAAACATATATTTAATTAAGCTTTTGGGGCTAGACACATTGGTAGCTATAAAGGTACATAGACTTTCACTGTTCAAATCAAGTTGATTCATCCAAGAAAAGAAAGTGTTGATATATGTAAATATATAACTCAAGATTAAGACCTGAGAAATTAGGCTTTATGTCCCTTGGACTAATAGGCGTCAATAAGTTATTTAAATAAATTTATAAGAAAAATAGTTAATAAATTTAAAAAAAAATAGACAATAAACTTAATGTTTTAGACATTTAGGCATAAGGTTTTACTAGACAAATTTTTATTTAATATATATTTTAATCAAAAATATTTTTTATTTTTATATTCAGTTTAATTTAAATTTAACTCAGATCACGCACTATATAATAAGTATTAATAGATTTATTATTAAATTTTTTTTGTATATACAAAAACTTAAACACAACGCTTTACTTAAATTATATCAAATTAGTCGTTACCAAAATTAACCTCCTTTAATTGAGAACTTTATCTAGATTTGCTCTCTTCCGTCCCATTCCATGTAACATTGGCTACCCGTTTCAGCAAATTGAAAGAATGTTATTTAATGGAATAAAAGCCTAATTGCATTTTTATGTCAAAAAGTAACATACGAATATACAATGGACATAGGAACCAGGAATGCAACTCCAAGTTATATATGGGTTGGATTGATTTTGACCTTTTTTGACTTTGGATGACGGATGATGGATGGTGGTGGTTAAAATCATGATGGACCTGACCATTATTATTCAATCAACAATGTAATAAAGTAGTAATCAGAATGTTTTGTTGTCCGTTTGGTCATACGTTTGATCATGAAACACAGAAGTGTATATGCACATGCACACACCATCCACACACGTACACATTCCACAATCTCACAAAGCACAATTACGCAACGCTTCGAAATCAAACGACAACAGCGGGTGCGTCGTTTCGGTTGGTTTTCCAAATTGGAGCAATAATTACGGCAGGCTTTCGCGATTCACGCCAACAGCATGTGAAAAGGCACAGAGGGTGGGGCCCACGTCGACACATATTAGTGGGACCCACATATAATGGATTCACACTTTGCGGCCCTCACAACGCGGGAATGTCGTTCGTGCCGATATTCTTCCTTTCTCTCTGTCTACGTGTAACGCCATCAAATCGATTATGTGCTTTTCAATTACATAATATTCTATAAAACAGATAAATAAAATAAAATATATTAAATTTGAGCAATTACAATTTAGTTATTCTATCTTGTACAATATTTTTATATAATAATTACCGATCCAACTCATATGGATTTCGTTTGATTCGAGTAAGAAAAAACCAACTTGCAATATTTATTTAAGTATTTGAGTCAATTTTTTACATCAAAATCAATTCAATTTAACGCACGAACACGAACACCCTGGCAGGGAAGTAGCTCATGCTATTTCATTCTAACCCTTTTATTTTTTAGCAAAGTACTCTTATTTTAAATAATGAATGATTAATACTTACTCATCTGTCATTTATTTGAAATATTTTTCATATAAAAATAAAATATGTAAATAAAAATTGCTTTATAGTTAATTAAGGTGTGGCATCACCTTAAGAAAAAGAAATATGTGAAGATGACACAATAGTTAATCCCTTACAATTTCCATATAAGGAATTTTACTTTAATTTTTTGTTGAAATACTTCACTTGCTAATATTCAATGGGAGGATATGGTTAAAGTATAATCCAAATATGTTTCACAACCCAAGTTTAAATTAAGAAGTGCTGTAAAGAGTTTAAGAAAAAAGAATATGAATTTTATTATCACAATAAGAATCTTTTAAGCTGTATTAAAAAAATGTTACTATGTCATAGATTCTCGTATAATATGAACTTATTAAAAAAATTTAAGTTGTTTAGCAAAAAAATATATCCTAAAGTAATTTGACTTCAAGTTCTAATTTTTTAATAAAACAGTTTTAGAAAATTTAGTTTGAGATAAAGAATAATTTGGATAGAAATCCACTCCTTTCACCCTTGTACCATGAATTTAAGTGCTGACTCTTATATAATTTAATTTCTAAGAATTAAGTTTTCTTCTTATTAAGTTAATTAAAAGATTTTTCTTATATTAAGTTTTTTTTCATTTAAAAAGTATTGTCTAAACTTAATTTTTATCAATTTTTAAAATTTTAATCTCAAATATTGATACACTACATTAAATTAAAGATGCTTTTCCTTTATTGGATAAAATAAAATTTAATAATGTTATAATCTTAATCAATTTAAATTTAAATTTATAATTTTGACATATCATATCAATAAATATATTTTTAAATTTAAATATTTTATTTTCATAACTTCTTTCTCATTTTAAAAAAGTATCCTTCTAATTTAATATATACATTTATTATCAGTAATAAAAAATATACACTATCTATTTAAATAATATTTACTTAGAAACTTACACCTAAATTTTAAAACTTACTATAAATACGAAATGTATGTTAATATTGAATTTAACTAAAATAATTTTTATATGAAATAATATTTAATTTTCATTTTTTTAGCAGTACTGTAAAACATATTTACACTCGTTTAATGATATATGAGTTTTAATCACTATTTATGAATTAAGAAAAACTAGTGATATGTTGAATCTCATTAGATGATACGATTAAATTTTCTATGCATAAAATCTAAACTCTATAAAATCAAAGTAGAAATCAGATGTAGAACTTTACTTATCTTTGTTTTTTAAATGGTTTTAGTATGTATTAGGTTTATCTTGTTTGTCTAGAAAACTATGTTTTAACTTCTTTTTTTTTTAAAAAAAAAACAATTATATTTTAAACTAGTTTTTAAACATGTATTTAACTAACTTTTATTATTATAAATATGCGTCATGTTTTTTTAATAAATATATTTTTAAGAATTATTTTGTTCTTATATTAAGTCATTTGATCTGCTTTAATATTTATTTTAAATACTATATATATAATATCAACCTTAATTTATATTTGAATTATAAATTTTTGCGCGCTGTATATATTAATAAGAATGACATGTCATATATTTTAATAATTTTCTTCTTAAAGATAAAACATATATTATATAAAAATATCTTCATCATTATTATTTAAAGTATCTTTTATTTTTAATTATATTTTTTCCAATTCTAGTAAAGTATAGGTTTCATTTATATTATTTAATTCATTTAATTATTTTTATATGTTTATTTTGGAAAATATGTGCTAGTTAAGAAATATAATTGATATTTTTAGTTATGTTAAAATAGTTTTAAACTTATAATGTAATTTTTACTATTGCTTATTCTAATTTATATTATGTATGTAAATATTTAAGACATAAATAAAAAATTATTGATTAATGGTATCTTGCATGTTAAAAAAATAGATTATGATTTTTTTTCAAAAGATAATATTATTTTAATAGTTAAAGGTTGTTAAAAGGGAAAGAGGAAGAAATGTTGAATGTCTATATATATTCTTTGGTTGAATTATTTCTAGTAATTTAATAACGGAAAAAAATATTATACAAATAAACGAATTTAATTTTTTGTTGAAAATAATTTCTAATTTTTAATTTTTTTAATTAGTAGATTTCTTTTTGACTTTTAAATTAGTCAAATAATATATAAAAAATATTTAAAAAAGGATGACAATTAATATTATCTTAAATTTATACATAAAAAATAAATAAATAAAAATATTTTTATGAACAAATAAATAAGAATAAATATAATATTTAATAATTTAAAAATAAAATTTACACTCATAACAATAACAATGGTATGTGTATCACAGGAGACACAATAAAATTTTTTAAAATTTTTTAAATTTATTAATGCACTAAATTATGTGATTTTGAATTTGAATTTGCTTTATATAAGTTCTTGTTATGTAGCTCTACACACACATTAAAAGAAAAAGTAATTGTAAAAAAACTTCATATGCCTTATAAAAATTGCTAGCCAAATTAATGATTTTTTATAAGAAATTCATATTTTCACATTAACATTTTGTACATGCCACAAATTTTTTATCCATTTAAAGAAGTGAAAATTTACACTGACAAAAAAAAAAAAAACTATTTTGTTATAACCTGTGTAAATTTTTAAGCTTTAAATTTTCTATTTATTAGTTTTTTTTTTACAATTTTTAAACTATTCAAATAGTATAAGTATCTATAAAAATATTAAAAATCATTAGAGTTAAATTTAAACAACTAATAATAATAAATTTTATTAAAAAAAGCCATTTACAATTATTTTTTATGTTTAATATAATAAATTTTAATAATTTTTTTATTTTAAATACTTAAACTCAATCTAAAAGTTAAGACGGGCAATACTCATATTTTATATGAACAAGGGATATTTATAAAATAATAATAATTAATATTGTTATAAATTTTTACATTGGCAATAAATGGACATAAAATTTTATTGTCTCACTAGACAGATAAATAGAAACACAAATAAGTATATAAATATAATATTTGTTTTTATCTGAATAGTCTCAGAATTCAAACATCCATAAAAAAACATTCCCCGTAAACTAGTTATAGCTTCATAAATCATAATTCCTTCGTTTGAATATACTGCATAATGGATGTGAATCACAATCTTAAAACTTCAGGATGACTGTATTTGATTGAATGAAAATGAAATTAATAATACTGTTTTGTATTCTGAACGCGGTATTAATCGCTTGCCGCGTACAACCCGCATGAAGTAAAATCAAAATCCATTGTGTCAATCAGAGTTTTGGTACTTTCCGAAAGAACCTCTCCGCAGTAATAAAAGAATAGAATCACGCAAATCTATAATCTATTTACACTCATTAGCAAATTTGCTACTACTATTTGTTTGTCTTCCCTAGGTATCCATATCTACTGCCACCATTCTACATTGTTCGCTTGTCTACGATCTCTCTCTCTCTCTATATATATCCTTCGCTCTTTTTCAGCTACTCGTTCCCTTACCAACCAACCTCTCAGACCCATTCATGTAGAAAAGTTCGCAACTTTGAAGTTCAAGCACCGTTTAAGGATGCCGGGCCGGCATTGTTTTTTTTTTTTTTTTTTTGGTTGTGTGTGAACGAGGATGTGTTGTTCTGTTCTGTCTGTGAGAGTGTGCTTGGTCTATGTTAGAATCATTAAACGGGGTTTGGATTCTTGGTTGTTTTTGTTTATTGGGTTTTGAAAATCTTGATCTGTGGTTGGACTCAGTTGTGTTTGCTTGCCACGGAGAGAGAGAGAGAAAGAAAAGTTGACATTTGACAGCGTCAGACACGCGCTTCTTCAGCCTTTCGTATAAGCTTTCGTTGCTGGTTGTCTCTGAGTTGGTAAGACGTTTTAAAGAAACTTTCTTTACCATTGCAATTGTTTATAATTCATCTTCTACGTCTTGCCATTTGACACACGTAGAGTGGCAGCAAATTTGAACAATTCTAAAATATTCATTTTTTATATAAAGTCGCTGCTGATGAAGTAGTATGTGGGGGGTGTTATTGGATGATGAAATTACAGGTCTTGTAGTGTGTGGCTCATCATCATGGCTTCAAAATTCAAACATGGATCATCTATGGTTCGGAAGATCACGCAGCTGAGCAATGATTTGGATCAGGAAACTGAGAACGGAGGTGTTGGTCTTGCTACCTACACGGTTCACATTCCTCCAACGCCTGATAACCAGCCTATGGAAATTTCCTTGGAGAGGTCAACTTCCCAGAGAGTGGAGGACCAGTACGCTTCAAGTTCTATGTTCACTGGTGGTTTTAACCAGCTTACGCGTGCCCATTTGAAGGACAAGGTGATTGAATCCGAATCCAGCCATCCCCAGATGGCTGGAGCAAAAGGGTCACCTTGTGCAGTGCCTGGTTGTGATGGAAAAGTGATGACTGACGAGAGGGGATTGGATATAGTCCCTTGTGAGTGTGACTATAAGATTTGTAGAGATTGTTACAGAGATGTTTTGAGGACTGGTGAAGGGATTTGCCCTGGTTGCAAAGAGCCTTATAAGGAGCCTGAGATGCAAGAGGCTTCTATGGTTAATCAACAGGCACTGCCTTTGCCTCCTGGTGCTGGGGTGTCCAAGATGGAGAGGAGGTTGTCGTTGATGAAATCAACGGCTTTGATGAGGAGCCAAACTAATGAATTTGATCATGCTCAGTGGTTGTTTGAAACCAAAGGGAGCTATGGATATGGAAATGCTATGTGGCCAAAAGATGCTGAAAATGATGCCAGTTCTGGTTCTGATTGGATGGGGGGTGATCCTAATGTTTTCAATGAAAAGCAGTGGAGGCCTTTGACCAGGAAATTGAGTATTTCTGCTGCAGTTCTCAGTCCATATAGGTATGAGACTGTTTCCTCTTACTTTCTGTTTCCCTGGTTTTTTACATTCTTCGTGGAGATGAATTTGTGGGATTCAATATTCTCATTGATATGTCACGCAATATTTGTTTTATGTTATGGATGATAGTTCTAACTCAAGTTGGAGTCTCCGTTATCTGATATTCAATTTGATTTAGTTTTCTTGCAAATAAATGTCCCCTTTTGAGGTTTAAAGAACAACTTTTTACGAACAAGGATAAAATTGGAGAAACTTGTCACACAGAAAAATGTTCTCGTCCTGATTCATAATTTTGACCATTTCCTTATTATTATTATGATTATTATTATTTGTCTAGCTGCTGGTATTGATAACTGTGATATATGTCCTATCTACCCTATGTAGCAGTAACAGTATTTGAATCAACATATAATCTAAAGTTAGTCTCAATTTTGTTGTTCTAAATTTCAGGCTCATAATATTAGTTCGGTTAGTGGTTCTTGCTTTCTTCCTAAAGTGGAGGGTCCAAAATCCCAATGAAGATGCACTCTGGCTGTGGGGCATGTCTGTGGTTTGTGAAATCTGGTTTGCCTTCTCATGGCTGCTTGATCAGCTTCCTAAGCTCTTTCCGATAAACCGTGTGGCTGATCTCGATGTTTTGAAAGAGAAGTTTGAAACATCTAATCCTTCCAATCCTTCTGGAAAGTCTGATCTTCCAGGAATAGACATGTTTGTGTCAACTGCAGATCCAGAGAAAGAACCACCACTTGTTACTGCAAATACTATTCTTTCTATTCTAGCTGCTGATTATCCTGTTGAGAAACTTTCATGTTATGTCTCTGATGATGGAGGTGCACTTCTAACCTTTGAGGCCATGGCAGAGGCGGCAAGTTTTGCCAATTTGTGGGTTCCTTTTTGCCGGAAGCACGACATTGAACCGAGGAACCCGGAAACTTATTTTAATCTCAAGAGAGATCCTTACAAGAACAAAGTTCGCTCTGACTTTGTAAGGGACCGCAGGCGAGTAAAGCGCGAGTATGATGAGTTCAAGGTTCGGATTAATGGCCTTCCTGATTCAATCCGGCGCCGTTCTGATGCTTATAATGCTAGAGAAGAAATCAAAGCTATGAAGCTTCGTAGAGAGAATGGAAATGATGAACCAATTGAGAATTTGAAAATTCCTAAAGCTACATGGATGGCTGATGGTACTCACTGGCCAGGTACTTGGACAATTCCTTCACCAGAACATTCCAGGGGTGATCATGCCAGTATTATACAGGTAATGGAATCTTTACAAGACAATCATAATTCGTTATTATTCAATATGCATCTGAGAATGTGTATACATTGAATTGCAATTTGCAATGTTATTTATCATAGTTTGATTAAATGTGCTATGTGCTAATGCAGGTAATGATAAAACCCCCAAGTGATGAACCACTGAGTGGCACAGAATCAGATTCAAATGCCATGGATTTAACAGAAGTTGATATTCGTCTTCCTATGCTTGTCTATGTTTCTCGTGAAAAACGACCTGGTTATGACCACAACAAAAAAGCTGGGGCCATGAATGCGCTGGTTCGAGCCTCAGCCATTATGTCCAATGGCCCTTTCATTCTTAATCTTGACTGTGACCATTACATATACAACTCTCAAGCCCTGAGAGAAGGGATGTGTTTCATGATGGACCGTGGTGGCGACAGGATCTGCTACGTTCAATTTCCTCAAAGGTTTGAAGGAATTGATCCTAATGATCGCTATGCCAATCATAACACTGTCTTCTTTGATGTCAACATGCGAGCTCTGGATGGAATTCAAGGTCCTGTATATGTTGGCACAGGATGCTTATTTAGAAGAACTGCACTGTATGGCTTTGATCCACCAAGGGTGAAAGAGGAGACTAGTTGGTTTGGTGGAAAGAACAAGAAATCATCAACTGTTGCCTCTGTCTCTGAAGCTGGTTCTGAGGACAAGTCACTTAGAAATGGTGGCATTGAAGAGGAAGAAATGACAATTGCTCTTATTCCAAAGACATTTGGCAACTCAAGCCTTCTTGTTGATTCAATAAGGGTGGCCGAGTTCCAAGGCCGCCCCCTGGCTGATCATCCGTCTATCAAGAATGGACGTCCGCCCGGCGCACTAACTCTTCCTCGTGATCTACTTGATGCTGCAACTGTTGCTGAGGCCATCAATGTGATCTCATGTTGGTATGAAGATAAGACTGAATGGGGCCTTAGAGTTGGGTGGATTTATGGTTCTGTTACTGAGGATGTTGTGACTGGTTATAGAATGCATAATAGGGGATGGAAGTCTGTATATTGTGTCACCAAAAGAGATGCTTTCCGTGGCACTGCTCCAATCAATCTCACAGATAGATTACATCAGGTTCTTCGATGGGCAACTGGCTCGGTTGAGATCTTCTTTTCGCGAAACAATGCTCTTTTGGCTAGCTCTAGATTGAAATTTCTGCAGAGAATTGCTTACCTTAATGTTGGAATTTATCCATTCACTTCCATATTCCTTATTGTTTATTGCTTCCTTCCAGCACTATCGCTTTTCACCGGCCAGTTCATTGTTCAGACCCTTCAAGTAACCTTCCTAGTTTACCTCTTGGGAATTACCTTGACCCTTGTTCTTCTTGCTGCTTTGGAGATCAAATGGTCTGGTATTGAACTTGAAGAATGGTGGAGGAATGAACAGTTTTGGTTGATTGGAGGCACAAGTGCTCATCTTGCTGCTGTTCTTCAGGGTCTACTAAAGGTGATGGCTGGCATTGAGATTTCATTCACTTTGACATCAAAATCTTCAGGTGACGATGAAAATGATGAATTTGCTGATCTTTATGTAATCAAGTGGACCTCTCTTATGATACCACCCATCACAATTATGATGGTCAATTTGATAGCAATTGCCGTGGCAGTTAGCAGAACAATATATAGTGATGATCGTCAATGGAGCAGTTTACTTGGAGGTGTGTTTTTCAGTTTTTGGGTCTTGACTCATTTGTATCCCTTTGCAAAAGGGCTTATGGGTAGAAGGGGTAGGACACCCACTATTGTGTTTGTATGGTCAGGTTTAATATCAATTACTATCTCACTACTCTGGGTTGCTATTGACCCTCCTTCTGGCAGCAGTCAAATTGGAGGATCATTCCAATTCCCTTGATTTTACGGTGCTCACTTTTGAGGTAGCACTTGTAAGCAATTCAGACACCCCTTTCGGTTGACGAGATTTTGTAGTTACATTCATTGTTCGACAAGCTGTTGCTTATATTTGATTGATCATACAAGGAATGAATCTTACAAATTTTTTCACCCGTTCTCATTGACCCCTTTGCAAGCTTGCTGGTTGTGACTTTATTACTGGATAATCTATGATTTATGTTCTTATAAATAGGATTAAATTTGATTTTAGTTTGTAAAAATGTTTGGTTAGTTTTAGTCCTCTAAAAATTTATTTATTTTTAAAATAATTCCTATTATTATTTATTGATGACATGATATACATCATATATGTTCTATCGCATGGTACTTCAGATTGGTCACTGATGTAGTTTTAGAGTATTTATTTTAAATTTAATCATATTTATAAAGAATTAAAATATATTTAAGTCCATATGAACGTTGAGGAAATAGAACTATATTGCGTTTTTTGTCCATTGAAAAAGAAGATTTTAAAATTAATATTTATATATGTATGTCAACTTGTCAAGGGTACTTTTTAATTGATAGTAAAAAATCAATCCCATCAAGATGTTACTTAGCTTGATATTGGCATCGACATTCGTTACATTCTTTATTTCTTAAGGATGAGCCTCTTCCGGGCTATTATTTTACCCATATTCTAGCTCTGTTTGTGACTATAAGCGAAATTAACAACCTCGCTACATCTCACACAAACAGTTCATAAAAGATGATGATCCCTGTTAACTAGCTATCCTATATTTAGAATAATAGCCAGCAAATTACGAAACCCAACATTTAAAATGTTACGAAACCAGTACTTAGGAATATTAGTGGACGTTTCGAAGTCCAATTATTATTCAAACGGATGATATTTATACGCAACTATAACTTGGAGTGAAATGGGCGGTTACCCATGTGTCACAATCTCACTGTTCTAATAGTGTGTGTAGTTTGGAGTTCGATGTTGCACACTAACTTGTGTTCATACACTGAACATGCCGCATCCCCTGTTTTCCCTTATCATATATCCATTGAATATTCTGGTAATCTCACAAGCTGGTTAATAGTTGAAGTTTCAAACAAGAACCAAATTTCCTATCCCACTTAAATTTATTGGAATTTTTCTAATCTAACCCTCCACTTCCTTTCTTACTGGGTCATTTATATAGAAAATTCAACACCCAGAAGAATGGGAAATGTTCCATTGACTGCAAATGCTCTTGAAATTGGGCTAAAGCTATTCTGTCTATAACGTGTGCATGGGCATGTTTCTAGCACAACAGTTGTTGGCACTTGAGTCAATTTACCTCTCTAAACCCAAAAACGAGAGGTGAAAACTGAGTGAGTTTTCCATCAAAAAGGTCACTTTCCTAACATCTGGTGGGCTAATCTGTATTAATTTCTACTTTATGAAAACTTTTCAATTGAACTAAGAATTTGATTCTTAAATATAATTTTCTTAGGTCATAGACGTTCAGGGAGAAGTTAGATGAGCAGGTTTTGAATAAATTGATGTGATTTTAATTATTTATGTGGAAAAAAATAATTTATTTTATTTTCTTCTCCTATGAATAATTGCCGACGAATTTATCTAAACTAGTTTTAAGTAACAGTTTCCATCCCAGAAGGAATAAAAGGTGTCGAACGGGAAAGTGTCAACTACAGCTAGCAGTAGCTATTATTTTCAATTTCATTTTTTTGGGATGAAAGACCCTTTAAAATTTTCAAAATTTTTTTTGGAAGTTAAATAAAAAAGAATAAATGTATTACTTTAATTTTTAAAAATTATATAATATTTATAAAATAATTAAATAATATATTTTTTATTTAAAAAATATTAAATAGAAAAAAAATATATTTAACTCCTTTTCTCTTCCAAAGTCAAAACTTTCAAACATAAGCAAAAGGTTTGGCGTGACAGCTTAACTGCAGCTATCAGAACCAACAACTGCATCTCTAGAACGCTTGTCTGAGAAGCTTCTCGCATAGTGTTCAAACTGCATAAAACCCAAACTAAATTCTTTTTAGATGTGTTTAGACTACCTAGGAATGAACAAAAATAGGGATGAGAAACAAGATAACAAAAAAAGAGTAATAAAATTTTATCAATAAATTAATTATTCCTTTTATAAACAAACTTTTTTAGGAGAGATTCGTGAGATTTATATTTATCTCATTTAAAAAAATTACATAATTTAAATATTAAGAGTTGAAGCTAATGTAATATGAATAAAAACTGACATTATTCACTATTTCAATGGAATTAACAATTAATTAAAGGGACTAAAAATTGTACCATTTTTGTTGATACTAAATTTAATTAACTATATATATAAAGTAAAGGTGAAATATGTGATCCCCAAAACAAAAATTTGGGGCGCAAATGCTTATTGTTTGGGTCTTTATTGAGCTTTTAATGCTGAATACTTGATTCTAACCCTCCCACTAGTCATTAGTCACAAGTCGTTATCCTCTAACCAGTCACAGTGCAATTATTTAAAGGAATTTTCAGTTTAACAAAGCTAATCACAAAGTCATGAAATAATTTTTCATTTGAAAAGAACATTAATCGGTATGGTTCAAATTTGTCCAATTCAAACGTGACCCGTTAAGACTTTAGCGCTCGTTATAATATAATTTTAAATTTTATTATTCGAATAAATTTTTAAATATTTATATATTGTTTCTTTATATATCGCATCAAAAAATAAAAAAGTAATGAACATCACTCGGGTGTCTTTTATCAGAGGAGGTAAAAAGACATTTCTGTGTAATTTTTATGTATCCTTTATCACTTTATTACGTGTTTTAAAACCTGTATTGCTTTATCGGTTTAAAACATGTTAGATATATATATAATATCCTTTTATCTTCTCTGATTATTTTCCATATTGCAATATATTATCCAATCCAATTAACATTTAGTGGGCATACTGACAACTTGAAACATCGTTATTTTGATAAATTCCATGGTTCTCTCAATTTCTGTATCAGTGAACTGGCTAGTTAATATCAGCATAAGCTAGCGACAGGTAGGTTCAATGTCATTTCAGAACCAAAAACTTTTATGGCTCCAACGTTCTAAATTGGTTGTTCTTACTTCTTAATCTTTTCAGTTTTCAACCAGTTGGATGATTTCTCATTATTTTTGTTAGAAAAAACGAAAGACAAGATTGGTGATTCTGACTTTAATCTCTTTTATTACGTGCGTGTTTATTTTATAACAATAATAGTTCTTTTTTATTATCATTTTTTTAATATTTTATAACAATAATATTTATTTTAACTCAGCCTTTAAACAATATTAATTTACATCTATCAAAAATTATTTATACTTAATTTATTTAACAAAATGAATGTGATTTTAGTACTTCATCACAAAAGACTTTTATAACTTTTAAAGACTAAAAAAAATCAAAGAAAAAATATATTTTAACTTATTTTTGTATGTATTTTTACCGAAATTCAAACAAAATATACTAAACTGTTTCATTTTAAAAAATTAACTTTTTTAATTATAAAAATATCATATTATTTTTCAATCTAAATATATGTCTGAATTATACCATACACATAAGCATCGAAATAAATCAATTTATACTGATATAAACTATTCTCATTATTGACTTTTTTTAACAATTCATTCATGAATTTTCAAAATCTTAAATCCTTAATTTATACTTTATACAATAAAGTAAAATATTATATCTCAACAACATTTTTTATTATATTTTAATCTTTTATAAAACAGATGATTTTATTATTATTTGATACTGACGATATTTTCTTTTATTATTATTTCTTTAGTTTATATTATAATTTTTATTTAAATTTTAAAATACCTGCACAGTAAACAAAATTTCTGACCAAAAATTATATTGTAGTTATAGTTACTTTTCGGTCTATCCCATGATATCCTCATGTTAGTAAGTAATATTTAAAAAATATAAATCGAATTTCAACCACTAAGTTATTGGGTAGTGACCAATGCAACATGATCAATGACCTGCCATGAATTTCTTGACACAAAAATATTTGGAGTTATTCTTTGGTGCACTCATTCGGATATATATTCCACCTACTGAAGCAACACAAGCATAACATCAAACCACTCTTATATATATAAAGAAAAAGATATAATCACTTGTTTATTTATGCCTGTCAAATAATTTTAATAATGTAAAGAAAAAGCCACAAATAATGGACACTATTATATACATCTCATCTTAATAATCACATATCACCTTGATCAGTATCATCTACCGGAGTTGAAGTACGGCTCCTCCGCCTAGATTGCCGGCGGTGGCTGCCGCCAAATCTCAACCTTCCGGTCTCTTTAAACCTTTGTTTCTCCGAGGGTATTATAACACACTCAGGTGGTGGCACAGGGTACCTTAACGTGTCATAGCAATAAGAATAGTACATGTAACGCTGGCGGAACTTACGCATGGCAAGGCGGCGCGTGGGGGTCACGGCAGCGTAGTCTTGAGCTTCTAGATCGGCGTGTTGCCCGGAACAAACGTCGCTACCGGGAACTTCTTGTATGGGATCAACGGAGCAACCCTTTAGGACTAGGTCCTTAAATTCCGTTACAAAAGGTGCATACTTATAGTTCACTTTGTATTTTCCACCTGATGTGGCCCAATTTGATGCATCCCATATAGTGGCGTATAATGACATTGGCTTAGATGGGTAATCAGCTCCCATTTCATCGCTTCGTAACACTTCTCTGATTGGAACTTCATCAATGTAAAATCTGCAATAATCCAAACATAGCGATAAATATAATTAAACATAGCTATGTAGACATTTCATAAATAAATAAATGAATAAAAACAAAGAGGGTAGGTAGTTCCTAGTTAGCACATAAGTATATATTCCCATGAATATAAAGAAATTTTTGCCAGCTAGATTAGAGTATTAGGTGGAATTATGGGGGTTTGGCAGGTGCTATAGGAATCTCTGAGCTTGGTTTAGTTTGGTAATCTAACAAAAACTAGAAACATTACACAGATTAAAGAAATATAGCTCACGTGTTTCGTTATGGTGCATATGAACTAATTCCCCGTGTTATCATAGAGTTTTGCTTGTGCCATTGTTTAGGTCCAGTTGGACTTGGACCAATAGCAATACCTTTCTAATTAACATGCTTTCTGTAGTTTACATTTTTTAATTAGGCTTTACCGTAGACTAAATTTTCAAGGGGGAGATATTTCAGTCAAATTCTAAGAGCTTATATAAGATTGCTAAAGTATAATTTATGTAGGTAGAAATTAATTAGGAAAGCAATGCAAATTTAACCCCCCCCCCCCCCCCAACAGTTTAGCCTTTCACATGAGAGAATCAATTCAAAGGTTTCGCAATCCCATTATAATGAGAAGTCCCGTGATGGATACGTATCACTAAAAACAAAAGAGTCGTATCATATGTATTATACCCATAAAATATAAGGATAAGCACAAATTTATGTGAGGAAAAGAACTCGTACATATTTGTTTAATTTATCATCATCACCATATGTACAGAAAAGAATGAAAGCTATTTAATTGAAAAAGCACATCAAAAGAAATTCAAGGTGGCCATGACTGTGGGCCTAATTATACCTGCCTATTACTGGGAAAATAATCATTCAATTCCAAACCCACACTAACATCTAAAACCATCCTTTTAGTAATGAGAACTATATGCTTTTGATCATCGCTAGCTCACACAACCAAGTTGTAAACGACGCATTCCACACGCAATTCCAAACACTTTAATTCCCTCCCTCACGATAAGTCAAACAAAACCAATTCAATAACACAAACACTCCCCGTTAAAGTTAAATCCAAAAGCATATATGTTCATGCCAAAAAAGTATTTCAAGCGAAAGCACAAAGCAAGCAATAGATAAACACATGAGGAAAAAGACTAACAATATCACGCAACTTGATGAATTAACATACAAAACCCTTACATGACGTTCCTCTCAGTCCAAAGGATGCTGTATCTATGGTATCCTTTGGTTGGGTCGAACCATAGGCGATAACGTTCCTCACGGCCACGGTGGGTGCTGCCGTTGCCGTACAAGTTTGTCTGAAACCGCCATGGTTTTCCGGCGATGTTACCTAAGAATTCAAAGTCCAACTCATCGTGGGTTTTCTCGAACACATCACCGTTTGATGTCTGTACCAAGAAAAAAAGAACTATATCACCCTCATGAAGAGTGCTAGAAAACACTTGTAATTCACGGCATGGACGGTTTTTTATTTTTTATTTGAAAAAAAACTTTAACATAAATTGAATGGAGTTCACCGACCCTGAATTTGAAATTGACTTTGCTACCACTTCGGAAGTTTCTTCAGCAAATTAAAGGAAAGTTTGACTAATATTTAATGAGAGCGTTTAGCTGATCGTATAAAATTTTAAAAAGAAAAAGAAACTAAGAAGGGAAGAATCAATCTCATGTAGGAGAAACAGCATAAAATACAAATCCAGAATTCCCTTTTTTCGTAAAAAAATTATACATATTCAGGAAATAATCAATTATGAAAGGATTTTTCTACATATATAGATGATTTAATATCTTAATTTGCTTGAAGAATTACCAAATATTAATTTTCATAAGAAAAACAAATATTATTTCCTTACTTACATAGAAGGCGACACAAATACCAGCAGTGTAATTCGATGGCAACTTGATATTCGCGCTGAAGAATCCATGCTGATACATATTAGAGGAAATGAAACCCGAACCTATTCACCATATAAGAGAATTTAGAAAAACATGAAATAAAAAAAAAATCGGAAACTAAGAACAAAGTTTAGTTTTGTTAATAGAAGCTTTCTGATTATACACGTGATCGTGTTTTGGCATATGATCACGTGTTTGTGAATTTACCCGTGAAGCGATCAAGGAGGAGTTGTACGCCGTTGCCATCGGAGGAACGAAGAACGTTGCTGTGTCCAAAGAGCGGAGAATAGCCATCGTTAAAGGGTATGGTGGCGAGGTCGAAGGCTGCGTTTGCGAAGCTGAAGAGAAGAAGTGAAAGAGATAATAGAAAATGAGTTTTGGGTATTGTCCCAAAACAACGTAAGCTGTGATCCATACTAGTTTTTCAGTTTCTGTTTTGCTATGCTTTTTCTCTCTCCACCCCTTTCTTTTCTCTCTTCCGTCTATATTTATACACAAATCATAATAAATCACTGCCAAGAGGGGTATTGGTCTTTGTCTGCGCCTGGTCACGGTTTTGAACTCGTTCTTTTATTTTATATTTTCTTAACGCGTCCAAATATATTTAATAAAAAATCATTTAAATAAACTTATCATATCAATAAAAATTATTCATTTTCATAATAATTAATATAAAAATATATACATATTTTAATTAGTTAACATGATAAAATTTTTACTAAAATTAAACTCCAATATTTTTTATTAATATATAAGATTTTTTAGTTTTTAATAAAAATTAAACATCCATTTATTTATTTTCGTTTGCAAAATTGCCCTTGGCTTGATGTGGATATCACGAAGCATGCCACTCTGTGTATGGTGCATTTGCAAAGAGCTGGTTGGTGGCTGCAAATTTATGAATAATGGTTTATAGCTTTCGGGAGAATATGTGCTTATCGTTAGGATGTTGCTATCATTGTTGGATTGAAGATGTTATTTTAATATTTGGTAGTAAGATGCTATATATTTTGCTAAATTATGTTGGAGTGACGACGAATATTGTGATAAGGATCATAATTCATAATTTGAGAGTTGAATATGTCATAAAGGATGGTTTCATTAACGAGTTTGAATTAAGCAAAATAATCATCTAGCATTATGATCAGGCCAGTTTTGAAGGTAGTTTAGATATGCGATCGCTTACAGTCCAAATTTAAAAGAGGGCCCAAAATAAAAATCGTGTCCTATTTTTACTTGAAAAAAATTTCAGCTCTTACAGTTTGTAGTTGAAAAAAATAGAAAAAAAAAACTTTTAAATTTTTTGCAGCTCACTTGCTATAAATGTAGTCGACTCATTGACTTCTGTAAACTCAAAACTTTATTTAATTCCAAAATTTTACTATTCTTAACATGAAATCTCATGGAGAATTTTAGTTTTTTTCAAAAAATTAAATAGTTATTAAGTTTGTCAAATTTGCAGATTGTTATTTAAATGTTTTAATCAATTATATAATCTTTTTTATGGTCCCAATGACTATATTATCAACTGAAAGAAGTTTTTTAAAGTTAAAGTTAATCAAAACATACCTAAGGTTATCAATGTTACAAGAACCGTTGAATGGTCTCACAATTTTATCAATTGATAAAGAATTTTTAAAAAAACATTAATGTTAATATTATCATTGATGATTTTGCATCTCAGAATGCTCGTAGAATTCATTTTTTATGATTTTTTATATTTTTGTAGTTAATTATAACATAAGAGTTGGTTGAATGAAAGATTTTTTTTTTTAATAATTTTATTAAAAAAATTATAGTTACTTAAGAAAAAGTATTATTTTAATAAAATTATTAATATATAATTTTATTTTGTTTATTATATTTTATAATTTTTTAAAAGACTCTAATTTTTTATTTGCCTAAGGTCTCAAAAAGGTGAACAACAGCTCCTCCCAATAAGCTCATATGGATTATGTTTTTTGGTAGTCTAAATACTTAATTTCAATTGCATTTATGTATGAGTGATTTTATTTTTGGCATTTCTCATCTTTCATGGCATTATATATGACAAAATAGTTGAATCCCGGTCCATGCCACTATGAGTGATGGCTTATGACCTCCACACGTGTACTACAAAGTGGCGAAGCGTCTTATCTATCTTAATTATTAAGATTATTATACCTTTCCCCCTAAGTTTTCTAGAATAATCATGCATGGTGCTGGTCAAACTACAAAGTATTCATTTGGTTACAAGGCTTTTACATCGATGTGGGTTAAGGATATCATTTTATAAAACTAAGTTTAAAACTAATTTTAAACTTAATAATTATTAATGACTCGTATAGTTTTAAAGATTAATTTAAGATTTTTTTCAAAATTTTATTTTGGTGGTTTTTTTAAATCTTTTAAGTATTATATATAATTTTAAAACTAATTTTAAACTTAATAATTATTATCAACTCTTAATTCTCAAACTATTTGTTCAAAAAAAAAATTATGTTTTCCCCCTCATTTTTAGCTAAAATTTTCTCTCTCACTCTCACAAGTCACACTTCAATTTCTTTGCGTCTCATACTCTTTTTCTTCGTATTTGTTTCAAATGAAGTGGGTTATTTGTGGATGTCAAATTGTTATCTGTGGATTTTATTTATTAAAAGTGCAATATTATCACTAATTGAGAATACAATTTTGATAAATAATTCTACAAGTAGAAAAAGTTAAAGCAATGAAATAAAAACCAATGAATTATATTAAGTTACACTTTTCTAAAAGCTTTACCCGGATCCTGAAGTTTCTAAGCATGATCGATTTAATTTCATATGCACAATCAAATTTGATTAATTAAAAGAAAGCCATCGTTTACTAAATCATTATTCATCATCATTATATAAAGTCAATAGTTATCGCACATAATTTTTAGTTCATGCTCAATGATAAAATAAATAAAAAAACATATTATATACTTTAATTCATGTGAATATTATTTTTATTTGTGAATACTAAATGTTTATGTTAGAATACACTTGTTCACTATAATTTTTATCATTCTATTATGCTATGATGCCTTCATAAAATATTTCAGATTTTTTTTTGTATGTAAGGAGAGAATACTTGTTACAGTACACGGTTAAGTAAGTATTTGATATAAAGTAATAACTATTATTAAATATTCTGAAATTAATCTTTTATTTGTCCTTTTTACTTTTATTTTATAAGTATAATATTGAGCTAATGGACTTATTGAGTCAGTCTTAAATTAACCTCTTGATTATTTAGATAATTAACTTTTTTTATTAATTATTTGTCTTAATTAATTTGTTAATTTATTTTAATATGATAAAAAAGTATTAATACTCAGTAGTCTAAAAGTGAGACTGAAAGAATGTTAGTATCTTCTATTCAAAAATACAATTGAAAAAATATTAATACCCTATTTTATAAATATGATTGAAAGAGTACTAGTATCTTGCATTTAGAGATGAAGCCAAAGTAATGTCCAATTTCTTGATTTACTAAAGATGATCAAATGGTGTCTAAGCTTTAAGAATATAAAAAGCTTGTAAGTTGTAAGATGAATATATTGAAAATGGGAAATCATTTTGGGAATATTTTATACGAGAGAAATAAAGGAGTTTGTTTAGATTAGAAATTGGTAATTATGTGACAGTGGGTGGGCATTATCGTCCACTGAAAAAGTGAAACCAACACTGTGGAAAAGGAGTGCACGAACACGGCTCGTGATTTGGATTTGGACAGAATTGCAGAGGGTATTTTCTAAGGAGCTCCGTGTTTCCTACCGATACAAATTTTAAAAGGATATTACTAATCAATGTTTCAAGTACATGTAGTTAAACGATTAATGAATAATCCTTTTCATTTAAAATCATATTAAAATGTATTTTAAAAAATATTTTTACTTTTTAATAAATAATTTTAAATTTTTATTTTATGATCATAAAGTTTCTTAATTATTAAATAAAAAATTAAATAATTTTAGTTTAATTTATACGTATGCTAATTTTTTTACATTATTATTCAATTATAAATTGTCATATTAATAAAAAATATTTATATAATAATTAATATAAAAATTATATTTTAAGATATATTTTATTTATTGACAGTGTAAAAATTTTTATATTAATATTACATATCTATAAAATTTCTGATTTATTAAATTAAAATATAGAATTTTTTTAAATATTATTTTATATATGTGTGTGTAATTATTTATTTTTACATTGCATATATATAAACTTTCTTATTATTAAATAAAACATGGAATTTTTTAAATAATATATATGTTTAATTTTTATTTTATAAAATAATAAAAATTACTAAATAATATAATCAAGCATATTAAAAAATTCTATTTTTATTTTTTAACCAATTTTTAGTTAAGTTAAAATTGCCTCCATATTTGGGCGCCGAAAGAGGCAAAAAGCGCGTCCGAGACTAACGCGATGATACGCTGCCTTTAAATTTATGGTTAAGAATTGAGGTTAATATTTTTATAAATAAACAGTAAAATAAATATTTTGAAATTGTTTTTCACATTAACTACTCTGACTAACCAAAATTAATGCTTTATGATTTGTGAATCACGTCAAGCCACAACTTTGGCCTGTTTATGACTTTAAATGCTGTTTCCATGGGATCCGATTTGCGCTGTTCCTCATTGTCATGCGTATTGGTCACGATTTTAACACTGTAAAGTGATCAAATTAATACACTCAAAAGTTAGTGTCCAAAAGAAAAAAGTAGCTCTAGAAATGAAAATATAAGGATATGTTTGGTTTTATGAAATTCTTTTATTTACTCTGTCTTTGTTTTACACCCTTTATATATTGCAATGAAGGTTAATTTTCTTTGACTTCCATTCAGCAATTTAATTTGGAAGATTTTCTAGCTAAGCGTATCAAGTTCCTGGGAATTTGACTTTTCATTGCCTTCAAGCGAAATCAAAATAAAAAGAAAAGTCCCTTGCTATCTAAGTTAGAATCAGTTTATATAAAGGTAGAATTTATACTTCAAAAAAAGAAGTTAGCATATGGAATAACCTTTGAAAAAATATACATTGGTATGACTAGATTACTTGATTATACAGTTACTACTTCACTTTGTTTAATTTTATTAATTTAATTGGATTATCGAGATCAATTTTTTATTTTTATTTTTTCTCCTTAACCTTCCAAGTTTTAAATTGCATATACGTCTTCACCCAAAAGAACAAAAAAGACGTTATGTTGCTAACAAAAAACACAATAGGGATTATAATTCGCCAATTAGCGAGTGATTGAAATTAATGGCACTTATTTCATTGTGACGTGCTTGATGTTTCTTCATGTTCAAAGTTTGTGATACCTATAAAACAAAATGCAATCCTAATTCTTTACCACACGGAGGGATATAATCATTTTGAATTAACTTAGACATAAATTAACTTATTATGTGTAATTTTTATTTTTCACAATACTAATAGTTTCGGGCATTGCGTTTCCCCAACACTAGTTGCAATTAGTTACTAGGTATAAAATTTGCTTCCCCAAATTTATTAATGTTATTTCAAGAACTAAAACTAAATGGGTTATAAGTTGTTAATTAAGCGGAATTGAAGCTCCATAAATTGTAGGTAACATATTAAATATTTATGTCTCTGAGTTATATATATATATATATATATATATATATATATATATATATATTTCAAGGGAAAAATAATTTACATAACTTGTGTAGTGATTTTTTTTCGTTTTGCAATGCAATAAAAAGCATTAATTTCGTCTCACTATTTATCTTCGAGGTCAGCATAACTAAATTATGAGAAGTAAATAAATTTACCATCAAAGTCAACAGTAAGCATGGACTTTTGGAAAGGGACGCTTTGCTTCTAATTAGGGTTACAATTTATGTAATTTCATTGATCTAAGAAATCGACATTTTGACACAGGAAATGGCCACAGATGAAATGGCGGTTTCTTTAATTTAGGCAATGTAGGGACGAAGTTATCTCCAAATGGAATAAATTAGGGATTCAATTAGCTCATTTTTACTGTTAATTACTAACTCCTAAGGGATTGAACTACAGGCCTAATGCAATGCCAAATGAAAAGAAAGTACAGAAAAATGTAGCTATATGGAGGAATGGATTGATTTTTTCTAAAAGATGTTTTTATATTTTGAGCACAGGATTAATTTTATTTTGAATACATTGATAAAAAAAATTTACATGACAATACATCAAATAAAACTCTTATTTTAAACTAAATACCACAAAAATAAATTTTAAAAAATATATGTTCTTTCAAATTTCATTGTCTACCTGACAACTAAGCTCAATGAGGGAAATGAATTGGATTGAAACTGTAGAAAAGGAGTAAGAATACACGTCATGTGTGCACCATTCTTATTTTAATGTGCATTAAATGTGATGCTTTTGCAAGAGCAAACAGCAAAGGGGGTACACTCCTGTTTTAAAATAGCATTTGATGAGAAAGAAAACTAAAAGGATTCCAAGTAGGTTTCATTGAGAGCCAACTCCTCCATATGGGATGGTATAATCCAAGACAGAAGCTACAAGGGGACCCATCATATTGAGCTTTTCTAACATCCCTATAGAAGTGGACAAGTTAATTTTGCCACAACAATCATTCGCATACATTAAGAATAGTGCTACATTTAACAATTCATTTCTCATAACAAATCCATTTGAATATGGAAACATGACAGCTTGTATGAGAAAAGCTTCCTCGTTACAAAAGTTAGAGAACAATATATTCAGATAATGAAGTTGATTGGGGAGCAACCCATGCAATCATTAACCAACACAAAGAAATTAAGGCAAATTAAAATGCACAAACTACTCATATTAAATATATCAAATTAGCATAGTTTGAGAAAATGACCCTATGATGAGGGTGGTAACATGCATGCATCAATTTCAATTTAATGACACCTAAAATTGGAGCAAGTTTAGAAAACCAAGCTTCAAAGGTTAGCTTGTGAACCACTCTAACCTTGTCATTTTGTTGAGACACATACCATCTAAGTGGGGGATATATTACAATATTAATTTATTGCGTGCAAATTTATTCATTTAATGCTCTTAAAAGGTGCATGATAGCCTGAATATATCGTTAGAATATGATTCGATTATGTCATTACGAAAGGAGTGAGACTAACATTATTTTTTATACGATCACGGGCAATAATTGATTGTTCTAAGATTATTATTATATGCAGATCGCATAACTAAATGAAATTTATAAGTGAATGCCGTCCACATTTTATGTGCATGAAAATTCACTTTATCGTGGCAATCTAGCTAGGTTGTAACATCACAATTTTAATTTATTAGTTCTATACGTGTATTTGTATTTTATCACTATTTTAATTGTTTTTTAATCAATTACGTTTAAACCAAATTGCTCAGTTTAGAATATTCAAATTTAAATTATTTTTTAGAAATGTCTTGTGTGTGAAAAAAATCTCTGCTAGAAGAACGTACTAGTCCCACCATGATGGACATGTTTCTCAAACAAAACTATCTTATTTAAAAAGTTGCCTATTGTTTTGACTAAAATTTTAATTATTTATTTTATTTGTTATCATTGAAAAGGATTAAAAAAAAAAAAAGACTAAGTGGTTCAACTGAAACATAAGTGAAATAGGTCAAGTCTTAACTAACCTAATTCAAGTCCAGCGGTAGAATTGGTGTTTTTCTTTTTAAATATTGATTTAAATTATTTTGAGAATAAAATATGTGTATACGATTTATATACAAATTAATATTTTTTTTAGCCTTTTATTAATTTTTTTTACAGTGTTTATAGGACATATAACATAGTCTTTTATATTAATTTTAAATATTACTTACTGTTTATTATAAAATTATAATACAATTTAGCTTAAATTAATTTTTTTAAAATAAATCTGATTCAGTGAAAAGTGATTTAGATTGAATTTGAGACTTTAATTTTTTAATTTAATTCAAAATAATATATAAAATATTTTATCATTTTTATGTTATTTAGTAAATAAAGTCAATTTTTATAAAAATTATATAAAAAAATATTATATACATAATAATTCAAATTGTTCCAAAATATACACTTTATATATATATATATATATATATATATATATATATGTGTGTGTGTGTGTGTGTGTGTGTAATTTGTTTGGTATTGGAACAGATTGATTCTTAAAATAGAAAAAAAAAATTCAATTCAATTCAATAAAAAATTAAATTTTGTAATTTTCTGTTTTGTTTAATTTATTATTATTATATAATTTTTCTATTTGCATCATATTAGATCAGTTTATGAACGTGTCTACGAGCAAAGTTTGACATACAGTTACGTAAATTTATGGGAAATAATATTAAAGTTCAATTTAACCATTTTATTTATAGCAATATTATCTTTAACCACCCTATTTAAAATTTTTGTTCTCTCTCTCTCTCTCTACTTGTAGTTTTTTTTTTTTTTAAAGTATTATTTTATCAATAGTGTTTTGAATTGAAAAATAAGACTTAAGCCAATTTAAATAAATTTCTAGAGAAAAATTTATAAGAAAAAATATAAAAAATAAATAAACTTCTCTTATTAGAACTAATTTATCTGTTCAAATTTTAGAAAGTTAAATAATAAAATTTTTAAACAAATAAAAAAACAAATTATATCTCAATTATAAGAAAAATTTTGTTTATATTTTATACTATTTTTTCTCTCTAAAAATTTATTCGAATTGAACCTTAATTTAAATAAACTTATCAATAAGTATACATAAAAGTAATAAAATGAATCAAATTTAACCTATAAATTAAAATTAATTTATACTTTTCTGGTTTTTTAAGAAGCTATCTCATTACACTTTTATAAAATTTAAAATTCATAAATTGCTTTTAATTTATAAAAATATTTTATTTATTTTTTTCTTCTGGGTAAATTTTTTCCTGAACCGAGCCTAAGTCTAAGCTCAATAATTTAAAAAAAAAATACATAAGAAATTTACGAGTCCAAAGTGTCAAAATATTTTCGAACTAAATCACTAGAGTTAAAAGGCTCGCTATCTGAATCTGGCATGCTCTTGGACAATATCTACGCAAAAATTCTAAGATAATATCAAAACAAAAGAGGGAAGATAAAGCCCAAATAAAATAAAAAAAGCAGAAAAAAATTGAAAGACCAAAAAGAGTGGACTTAGTAAATGTGTGCCTCCTAAATAGAAGAAAAGAAACAAAAGTCCAAGTAATGAATGAATACATGACCCCTGACTTTGAAGAACCTAGAATACACACAGTAAAAGATTATGCAACATTTCCTTTGGGGCAAGAAGGATGGACTAGGGAGCCTTAAGCATTTAATTAGATTTGGTAATACCAAATTTACAAGTATGAATATGTAGCCACCCAGCATGTAACACCTACAAGTGAATATGTAATATACATACGCAATATTAAAGGTAATGTAATTTGATTGTGTGTAAAAACCAAATACAGCAATCATTCATAAACTGTAAAGAGTGATCAAACGGAGATTAAGAAGTAGGGTAGCAGTATCTTGAAGATGAAATGTGACTAGATTCCTCAACCAATATCCAGTCATAACTCAATTTACCACACTTAAGGGGATTGCAGTTCAAGTAAATTAGATTCAAGTTTTGTGCCTCAATCTGGAAAGAGATATTAAGTGAAATACGTTGTACACACAACAGCCACTGCACGTTTCACCTGTGAAATATGAGGGAAAAAAACCTAGAACTTTTGCAATTAACAAAAACTGTAAAATGTACATACGGAAATATATCATTTTAAGCTACTGCAAATCTGTAATTCAAGTTACACTAAAAGGCTTTCAATAAAAAAAAGGGGTTATATAATATATAAAAAAGATTTTTCAGCTAATCCTTCTTTAGTTTTACAAAGTAATCAATTTGATTAGGTCGACAACTGCAGGAGTTGACATGATATTCAAAGAACTAGTATAATGTTGAAAGAGAGAGTGCTTAAGAGAAAATGTGTTTGGCATACATTCTAGAAGTAGTAGAATTTCAGTTGGTAAATTGAACTAGCTAGCATTGAGCATTCCTACCTCAAAGCCAGGGAGGATGAAGATGGCGAGTAAATTAAGAACACCAGTTGTGTCTTGAAGAAGCAGAGTATAAAATTGACATGACTAAATTGACCATACACCCTTAAAAACACAATTAAGCTCACTCAACCATGATTTGAATACAATTTGATTTTCTAAACTATTATTAAGTTGCACATGCTCCCACCTCCTTTTAAACGATTTTGGCATCTCACCAGTGATAGAGACACAAGATATGAGTTTAGATTAATTATAAATGATTAAATACAATAGAGAAGCATAGTGAAACCATAGAAAAGGAAAATTACTTATAGGCTATATAAGTCAATCAGCCGGAGCAATGACAAGCCCACTTATATATTTGACTCATCCATTGACAACAGTGGAGACTGAATAAAGCATTAGCATGACTTTGCAATATAAACTAAATTATAATGCTGATTCACAGTTCATCCAGCAGAATATAGTAATTCATGTATATATCCTCAACCTACAAATTTAACAAAGTCAAGCTATACAAAGAAGCCAGGTTTTTGATATCATTATCTTTCTCAAGGGTAAAAGTTTCCAAAGTTATCAATTTAAGCCACCCAATGGTAAGAATATACGAAGGAACCGAAGTTGGATCAATAATCAACTTCCAAGTAATCTTTTAAAGTTCAGAGTCTCATCACCATAAAGTTAACCTAACCTTAATTATCTATGCCACCAATAGTAAGTAAATCTGAAGGAAGTGAAGCAGGATCAAGTTCCCAGCAGTCTTTCAACAGTTCAGGAGTTTCATCACAAGGAAGTTTCCGTGCAGGAATTTGATGAGAAACTAACCACATATCATCCTTCCCTAGAAATCTAATGGCATGACTCCCCTTCTCTTGTCTCTTAAATACTGTCTTGTAGCCATCAACCTTCTCAAGATAAGCCATGCTCAGGCCATTGATCTCACTGTAACTGGTCAAAAATACAACTATGTCATAGCATCTCTTGTCCTCCTGAGTAAAATTTCTTCCACCTGCATCAAGAGTTGCCTCTCCATAAAGTGCCCATACTGAACCCTTCTTGGGGTAAACTTTGTAAACCTCGCGCGCTGCCCGGTCACAATCTACAACATGAGAGAAGATATTTACTGAATTTATGGAGGCCTTCCTGTTAACTACTTTAAATCTCCCACAAGATACATGAAAACCCGTTTTGTTCCGGCTAACAATCTTTCCATCCCCATTGTTCTGTAAGTCCAACCAACTTATTTTCACTTCAAAAGGATTCACTGAAACAGTCTCATCAATCAAGGCATAATGCCTGGGCATTCCATCATCATCGTCGTACACCGCCCACACCTGGCCTTTCTTAAAGCTTCTCTCTACTCTATCTGTGTCAAAGTCATAAAAGTCTGAATCCACCACCGCCATAACTTCCAATTCCCCTCCACTAGAATCCCTAGGCTTCCCAACTCTCAACCCCTTTCTCTTCTCAGAATCCTCATGCTTCTCCTTGATTGTAGGCTTCACACTCTTCCTCAAACTCCTAACTTCCCCTACCTCTAAACCCTCATTGTTCTTCAATCCCCGCAATCTCCCCTCTTGGTTGCTCCTCTTCTCTGTTCTATCCTCTTCCTCCTTTTCCTTTTCCTTCAGCTTCTTTTGCATCGCTTTTCTCTTCACTTCATTCTGAAATTCAGCCAATGTCATCATTTCCTCACCAGTTTTAACCCTCTTAGCCTTAGACCTCTCCAAAACCTCCCCAACAGAACGCATTCTCTTCCTCAATCTCCCTTCCCTCTCATTTCCCACTTCATCACCCCCAACTTTACCTCTCAAGCTCTCACTTTTTTCACTACCCATAGTCCCCTTCCTCTCTTTCAATCCCAACCTCCTACTCCTAACCCTAGCTTCCCCAGACTCATCACTCTGAACAGCTTCAACGGCCTTAAAACTCTTGTCACAACTAGGACACACTAGATTTTGACCCAAGTACCTTCTCTCAAACTGGTGCAAGAGCCTGCAAGTGGAGCAAGCGGTCCAGAATGTCTCGCTTTCTGCCTCAATCCTCTGCCGAAGCTCGGCATCGTAGTTCCTCCGGCGAACCCTGTCGGAGAGAAAGTGGAAGGCCTCGCCGACGAGCTTGAATGCTTCCTCGGATGCCACGTGGGAGTTTTTGTCGGGGTGGAGAAGGAGAGCGAGGTTCTTGTAGTGTTTGCGAATGGTAGTGGTGTTGGAGAAGGGTTCAACGCCGAGAACGGTATACCAATCGGTGGCGGCGAGGACGGTGAGAGAGGTGACGGTCTCGGAGACGCCGGCGAGGTGAGGAGCGAGACGCTGGGCTCGCTTCGCGTACTTCAGAGCTGATTTGGCGTTTTTGGAGGATTTGAATTTGGCTTCTGTCATAGCCTTGAGGCGCAGTGCTTCTGCTTCTGCTTCTGTTGTTGCCATTGGAATTGGAGAATGGAAAGGAATTGCAGTGTGGAACACTGGAGAAGGGGGAGGATGGTGGATTGGCGTTTTGGGCCGGCCCACAAAATAATGGTGTGTGTGGCCCTATTGAATGGGCCCAGCTAAATACTATTTGTATACATTTTAATTTATATCCAACAATTCAATTATTCTAAAACAGATCTTAAAGCATGAACTGACCTGGTTGATGTAGATATTTTATGCAGTAAAACGGGCTGTTCATCACACATTGGATGCCTCCACTCAGGTTTCAAGTTTTATTTGATTGAGTTAAAAATTTATTTTTTATTCAATTTAAAAAAAAAAAAAATATATATATATATATATATATATATATTTAATTTGATTACTCAAAATAAAATTGAGCCTATTTGAATTTATTACAAAAGCTTGAATAAGTAGAGTTAACTTTTTCAAAATTAATTGAAACTTAAAATTTTAGTTCACATTATTAAAGGTGAAGTAATGAGAAAACAAAAATAAAATGTATATTAAAATATACCAAATCCAAATTTAAAATTTAAACAAACCAAATTTAACCTCAAACGAAATTAAGCTAATGATGAGATATTATAAGTTATAAAGAATCCTAATTTAAAAGGATGGCGATTGGTTTTGTGGAATCGCGAGTTTTTGAGACAGCAATAGAATAGAAGATGGTTAAGTTCCTTGATCTTCAGAAGTGGATATTGAATGTGAATCATTAGGTCTATTTTCAATGCTTGTCTATATCTATCTATATCTATTTATTTATATTTATCTATATATATATATATATATATATATATATGTAAAATTGATTATACCTACTTATTATTTTATGCATTAAAATTTAGAACCTATATAGTCAATGACTGTACTTACTTATTACCCTATGCATTAAAATTTGAAATTTATAATTTACGAATTAAAATTATATTTTATCATATTAAAATTCGAAACCTATAAAGTCACTCTAATTGACTGTACTTACTTATTACTTTATTACATTAAATAAAAAATTATTGATATTAATTACAATAATTTGCATAATTTAAGAATTATTATTATAATTAATTTATACTTATTATCTTTGAATTATATTTAGAAAAAAATTATTAAAATTTATTATAAATAAAATAATTTCAAGATTTTCTATGTCAAATATTAAAAATAGGAAAAAATATATAGATTAAATTATATAAAAATATTTTTGAGAAAATTTGATGAATTTCTCGAGTTATCTTTTAATTAAAAATAAAAATATATATTTGTTATTAACTTTTATTTAATATTTAAATGTTAATTATTATTTTATATTATATATTATTAAATTAAATTTTTAATAAAAAGATAATTAAACTCAAAAGATAACTTTTATTATATTAATTTTTTATTTTTTACTTTTCATATATATATATAGTACCCTATCTCTACTTATATAAGTCATGTTTACACAACTTTTGAAAACTTGCTCATTATTCTTTCTATTGATATATTTTTTCTTTATATTTTGCAATCATAACAACCATCAAGAATTACTTATCCATGTAAGTACATGTGTTTTTGAGTTTAATATTTTTTATTTTGTTACACTAAATTGTGTTATACATTTCAATTTATTTTTTTGAGTAAGCATAAAGTTGTATTATTTTTAAATGATATTATATATTAAATTTTATTTTTAACTAATTGATTTGTATCAAATCTATTATTATTTTCTTATATCCATCACAAATAATTATTTACTTTTATGTTGTAACATCTTAAATTTAATTTTCAAATAAATAATACTTTTGCAAATTTGGAATAATAAAAGTTTCATGAAATATTTTGAAATAGGGAAAGAGTTACAAGCTTATATCAAATAAATGCTACAGGACCATTTCCAATACAACAATATCAAAATAACATTCTAAGTCTTATAACAGTTTCATCCAATGTAACGCCCCGAATTTTGTAATATTAATTATTATTGATATATGTATATGTGTTTATATGTATGTGTAAATGTGAAAAGTGTAAATTGCATTTGAATGCGTAATGATGATGTTTGTGGGTATAATGTATATGACTGTGTGTGTATATATATATATATATATATATATATATATATAATTGGATTGAATTGATTGGGCTGAAAACAGGTTAAGTATGAATGTTACTGCAGGGCATTCTCGCTGTAGCGAGAGAGCACTGGGAGAGAAGAATGAAATTGTCGCCTTGTCGCTGTAGCGACAAAGCCACAGTTTGGACTGCATTTTTTGGTGCAGTCTCGCTGTAGCGAGATTATGCAGAAATTAAAGTGCACTTTTGTCTGAGTTTTTTTGCTGCAGCGAGGGAGGGAGGGAGTCCTTGTAGCGAGGTCTCCTCACTGGAGCGAGAGTGTCGCAACTAGAGAGGATTTAAAGGGAGTTAGGGTTCGAGAAAGATTATTTCTCACTTCCTTTCCAAATCTCTTCGATTCTCTCAACCAAAAATCCTATTCTACAGATTAAATTACCTCCAAAGTCGTTCGGGAGCAATATTGAAAGTTGAATCTGTGTGAGGAACGCTTGGAGGTAAGTTTTAATGGTTAGGATTTTTGTTTTTCCTCCCCTTTCCTTGTTTTTGCGATTCCCCTGGGTTATCATGGAATTCTTCCGTGTATTTAGGACGAAGTCCATGTGAGGAGCCTTCTCATTGTCGATTTTATGTGTAAGTCTTCATTTGAGGTAAAGGGGACTCTACCCTATCTCATTTTATTTAGAAATTCATTTATTCTCTATGCATTATAATGTGGTTGAAATGGAATGTGAGAATATGTGTGTTTTAACGAATTTATTATGTTAGACATGGAGTGGTGGAGGTCAGTTAGTATTATGTGTGCTGAAATGGTTAAATTGTGTATGCTTGAGTGACTTAATGGGTACGGACTCGGTTGAAATTGTTGTGTGTGGTTGAAATGAATTATGTTGTAAATGCACGTGTGCTGTGTATTGAGAATGATTATTGCAAACAAATGTGGGCCTGAGAGCCGTGTAAAATAAATTATTGTGGGTTTTGTGCCGTGAATTGTGACTAAAAACTGAAATGTGTGTGGATGGGGCGTGTTAATGCCGTTATATTGTGCTGTGAATGGTTCAGCGATACACTGGGAGTGTGGAAGATGAGGACGGTAAAAATACCTTGGGGAAGAGAGAGTGGCGGTGACATCAATAGTGAGCGTAGGTGCACCACGTGCCACATACTTTCTTCCTAACTAGACCTCTGACCACTACCTTTGCTGAGTGACCCGTGACTGCCCACGTGGTATACGTGAGGCGGGGGTAACCGACGACCATTCATAGTGTAAATCTGTGATCACAGTGTCACAGAGAGCGTGATTAGGTGCAGTGAGTGCACGTGTATAAACTGTTTGGTACCATGAGTGCATCGATTATGAACTGAAATGAAATGTTGTTTGTGATTACCTAGACTTGAGTATAATATATTAAAATACCTATAGTTATGCAAGGTGAGTCTCTATGTTATGCATGTGTGTGTGGGACAGTGTAGAGTACTCATCATTACATTTGTTTTTTTTTAGGTAATCAAGACGATCAACACCGGACTTAGTGAAGGAAGGATGAACTACTGTAGGACTTAGAATTTATTTTAAAATTTATGACGTAATTGAATTATTCATGTAGCAGTCTTTGATATAAAATTGTAATCCTTTATTGTTTTAAACTGTTTTATGAAGCCATGTGATGGAAATTTTAGTTAAATGAAAATTTTTAATATTCTCATTTTTGCGAAATTTATCATTTAGAAATTAAATTAAGGTGTTACATCCAACCCTTCACTGAGTCCGGTGCTAATCGTCTTGATTACCTGAAAATGAATGTAAGGGTGAGTACTCTACACTATCATACACACAAACAAGCATAGAGTCTCACCTTACACATAATTCACAATATTTCTAATACACCTCACACAGTATAATCATAGACAGCATTATCACGCATTTCATTTCTATTCATAACCGATGCACTCATGGCACCAAAACATTCATACACGCGTGCGTTCACTGCATGCAGTCACACTCACTGTGGCACTATGATTACAGATTCTCACCATGAATGGTCGTCGGGTACCCCTGCCTCACGGATATCACGTGGGCAGTCACGAGTCGCTCAACAAAGGTAGTGGTCAGAGGTCTAATTAGGAGGAGAGTATGTGGCACGTGGTGCACCTACGCTCACTGTTGATGTCACCGCCACTCTCTCTTCCCCAAGGTATTTTTACCGTCTTCATCTTCCACACCTCCAATATATCTTTGAACCATACATGACATCATTACAATGACATTTAACACGTCTCATTCACACACATTTCAGTCACACACACGACATTTATGCTTGCACACGAAACACAACCTACGTTCATTCACAGTACACGACACATAGTCTACATTCATTTACATCACACGGCACTTAGGCTCACATTCAAATCATACTATACGGCACAGAGACCCATTTTCATTTACAACACTCAGCACATATGTCCCTATTCTGTCACGCTACATTTTCCACATTTACCTACATTCATCACGCTATCCATGCCCATTTCCAACTACTTACATTATTCAATCATCAATCAAAAATATAATCACACACATTTCAATCAAGGGTATGTCAACCCAATCACAATCAACTCACATTATGAAAGCATAGCAATTAAATAGATTTTCACGCAAATGAGATAGGATAGAGTCTCCTTTTACCTTAGATTAAAGACCCACACGCAAATTGATCTAAGGAAGTATTCCTCACACAAATTTCGTCCTAAATACACGGAAAAATTCCATGAGAACCCAGAGAAATCACAAAAACATGAAAGGGGAGTGAAAAATCAAAACACTAACCATTAAAACTCACCTCCAATCATTCCCAACACGAATCCAACCTTCAACCTAGTTTCTAAACGACTTTGGAGACAATTTAATCGGTGAAATAAGATTGTGGGTCGAGAGAATCATAGAAATCTCGAAAGAAATTTTATTTCATCTACATTTTTTTTATATAGCATTTTAAATTTATTTTTGAAAATTTTATTTAAATTAATATTTATTCTTTAATAAAATTTTTAAAATATTATTTTATTATTAAAGTACTTTATAAATATATTTATTTTTATTGATTCTTAATTAAAATGATAAATAATAAATAAACTGTATTAATTATTTTCAAAAATTAAAAAAATTACATAAGAAAATTAATAAATTTATTATTTTAATTTTATAATTCAAATAACTTAATTTTATTATACTTAATTATTAAATAAAATTAATTTATTTATAATGTCAATCAATATTAATTCTGTTAAATTATAAAAAATATAGAATAATCTAATCATTTTAAAAAAACTCAGTTTTATATATATATATATTTTTTTATCAAAAAGTAAACTTTTAATTTAGAATATATATTATATTATTATTAGTTTTTATTTACAATAATTTTGTATGGTTGGTTTATTTACATATAAAAATTTAATATATTTTTATTTTTAAATATTAACATATAGTTTTGTATATATTGATATTGAAAGCAGATTTTTAAAATTTTATATATTAATTGAATAAATATAATTTTATTTTTGTATATATTAGTCTAATAAATTATTTTAAAAAAATATAATATCATGCTTTAATGATTATATAATAAAATTTTATTAATAATTTTAAATTATAATTATAAATAAATAGTTTATCATATAAATTTAATTAAAAAATATAAACAAATACATAAATAAAAAAATTAGAAGGCCTTTTATTCAAATTTTATAAATTATATTAAATAATTTATTATGATCATTATTTATTTAAAAGTTTATAATGATGAATGATTTATGATATCATGAAATAATATAAATTTTATTTTTATATTTTAAAAATAAAATATTTTATATTATTTTTTTATTTTAGAAAATACTAAATTATACATATTTTAAATAATAATTTATTTAAAAAATAATTTTTTTTACTATATTTATTTTTTTATATTTAAATTATATATTTTATATTTTAAAATAAAATTTTCACTCTCACCTTGTGCCTAGTGGCAAGAAGTGTTTTATTCCTAGTTTCTAACAAATACCCTCCAACACCAACAAAGACAAAACATTCAAAATCCCACAAATGCCTCCTCAAGTTCCCGGACCAACTAAACCCAACAAGAAGTTATACTTCTTCTACGGTCACCGCAAACCCTCCCAGAATCGCCCAACCGTTCGTGGAGGCCTCTTTTCTAATCGCGAAACCCTCACAAACCGTTGGAAACCCAACAAGACCCAACCCTTTGACATTAACAAGTGGGACCCTCACTTGCTCTCCAACCCAAACCCCTCACCATCACCATCACCAGAAGCCTCGTTCTCAGCCTCCATACGCCTATCTCCGATTGCGCGTTTCGTGCTCGACGCATTCCGCAAAAACGACGACAATTGGGGTCCTGACGTGGTGTCGGAGCTCAACAAACTCCGAAGGGTGACCCCCAATGTGGTTGCGGAAGTGCTCAAAGTGCAAACCAATTACACTATTGCTTCCAAGTTTTTTCATTGGGCTGGCAAGCAGAAAGGTTACAATCACAATTTCGCATCCTACAATGCCTTTGCGTATTGTTTGAACCGCGTCAATCAGTTCCGGGCAGCAGATCAGCTCCCGGAACTGATGGACTCGCAGGGCAAACCGCCGAGCGAGAAGCAGTTTGAGATTTTGATTAGAATGCATTGTGATGCCAACCGAGGGCTTAGGGTTTATCACGTTTATGATAAGATGAGGAATAAGTTTGGAGTGAGGCCTAGGGTGTTTTTGTACAATAGGGTTATGGATGCATTGGTTAGGACAGGGCATTTGGATTTGGCGTTGAAGGTTTATGATGATTTCAGGGCGGATGGGCTCGTTGAGGAGCGTGTGACTTTTATGGTTTTGATTAAGGGGCTGTGTAAGGCTGGGAGGGTTGATGGGATGTTGGAGGTTTTGGGGCGGATGAGGGAAAAATTGTGTAAGCCGGATGTGTTTGCATACACTGCTTTGGTTCGGATTATGGTTCCAGAGGGGGATTTGGATGGGTGTTTGAGGGTTTGGGAGGAGATGAAGAGGGATGAGGTGGAGCCAGATGTCATGGCTTATGCTACCCTGATCACGGGTCTGTCTAGAGGGGGGAGGGTTGAGGAGGGGTATCAGTTGTTCAAGGAAATGAAGAGTAAAGGTTGTTTGATTGATAGAGCGATATATGGATCGCTGATTGAGTCATTTGTGGGAGGGAATAAGGTTGACTTGGCTTTTGATTTGTTGAAGGATTTGGTGAGCTCAGGGTATAGGGCTGATTTGGGGATCTACAATTCCCTTATTGAAGGTTTGTGCAATTTGAAGCGGGTTGAGAGGGCTTACAAGCTTTTCCAAGTTGCTGTTCGGGAGGGTCTTGAGCCGGACTTTGTAACCATTAAACCATTATTGGTGTCTTATGCTGAAGAAAATAGATTGCAAGAATTTTGTGAGTTGGTCAAGCAGATGAAGAAATTGGGTTTTTCGGTTATTGAGGATCTCTCCAAATTTTTCTCCCTCTTGGTGGAGAAGAAGGGACCGAAGATGGCATTAGAGGCATTTACTCACTTGAAAGCAAAAGGTTACGTTAGTGTTGAGATATACAATATTCTTATGGATTCTTTTCACAAGATTGGTGAGATGAAGAAAGCATTATCACTATTTGATGAATTAAAAAGCTCAAACTTGAAACCTGACTCATTTACATATAGTGTTGCGATTCTATGCCTTGTTGATCTTGGTGAAATTCAAGAGGCATGTGGTTGTCACAATAACATCGTTGAGATGTCAAGCATCCCTTCTGTTGCTGCTTATAGATGCCTTGCTAAAGGTCTTTGCAAAATTGGAGAGATTGATGAAGCCATGATGCTTGTCCGCGATTGCTTAGGCAATGTTACTAGTGGACCAATGGAATTTAAGTATAGTCTTACCGTTATTCATGCATGTAAATCAAATGATGCTGAAAAGGTGATTGATGTATTAAATGAGATGATTGAACAAGGTTTCCCTCCAGATAATGTCATATATTCTGCTATCATCTCTGGCATGTGTAAGCATGGAACAATTGAAGAGGCCAGGAAGGTTTTCTCAAACATGAGGGAGCGCAATTTCTTAACAGAATCAGACACAATTGTGTATGACGAATTACTAATTGATCATATGAAGAAAAAAACAGCAGACTTGGTGCTATCAGGTTTAAAGTTCTTTGGTCTAGAATCTAAATTAAAATCAAAGGGTTGTAAGCTGTTGCCAAGTTGAAGACAATTGTGGAGACTGTTCTCATTTTTGTTCAACATGTTGAATGCAGAAAAGCATTTACGGTCAGCCATTGTTTTATTTGGTTCTTGAGTGTCTTCCTTCTGGTATCTGATATATTCAATTTAGTGGCTGTGAACACTAATATATTACCGAGAATTAGGCATGTGTTGCCAGATATTGTTGCATATCCTATAACAACGGACTGTTGCATGATGGAGGTCCTAAGTTCTGAGTTTTCATAGATTGCATCCTTTAACAAACCAAGTCACTCAAGAAAGGTCATTTGACATCAAACCATAACATAAACTCGTACGTGCTTCATTAGTATATCTATAATATATAAAGCCAGTTTTCAGTAGTCTCTCTTTTTTGGTTGCTTCTGTATTTGCTGAAGTTAATGTCAAGTGAGTCCAAAAACAGTTAATTATTACTCAATTGGAGGATAGGAGAAATGACAGAGACTGGGAAATGTGAGTAGTTGAGGAGAGAAAGATACAATAGTTTGTCTCTTAAATACTGTTGTGGTTGGAGCAGGGATGCAAGACTAATCCATGTATATATACAGCTTTATTGTGTTTTACATCTACTTTTTTTGTTGATTTCTTGTTTCCAGCAAATTGATCTGTGATGGAATTTTCTCAACTTTGCAACTCTGACACCATTCCCCTTCCCTTTTGACAATTTGCCAACTATTAAATCAAATTTTAAGCATATTTATTTTCCTCTTATGCAGAATGCATTTCTTGAATTTGCAAAGGTATTGAAAGCCAAAGAACAGGTGGTAGCAGGTAAGATATATTATCTTACCCTGGAAGCAATTGATGCTGGAAAGAAGAAGATATATGAAGCCAAAATTTGGGTGAAGCCATGGATGAACTTCAAGCAATTGCAGGAATTCAAGTGTGCTCATGTCATCCCTCCCTTTAGGAGTTCAAATCTTGGTGTTAAGCAAGGTAACTTTTTGCTTAAATCTACTCATGAATTTCCATGTAGAACATTCTTTTCTTCACCCCTTTCCTGCACCCTGTTTCCCCAATTCTATGTTGAATTTAGATTTACTTTTAGGTAGCACAGAAGTTATTTTTTTTAATCTGTACAATGTGCAGAATTTTATCTCAGATGTTAGCAATTTCATTGTTAGGTAGGAAATGAAAATGGTAAGGTCTGTTGTGTTATAGTTTCCTTTGTGATATATGAACTGGACTGCATGGTGTCCGCTAAAGGTTGCAAAAATATTATGGATAGAAACAGCAGTCCATTTTAGCATGGAGTTTATTCTTTTAACAATTGATAATAGATAAACATAGCCATAACTTGTATACCTGGAGGTTTTTATAATTTTCTGTCGTATCATTTGGAGTTGTTATCAGTGGATTTGGCAATGTTTGAACTTATTTTGTCCCTCTTGTAAGTACTTGAATTCATCCAACTAAACAAACAATTCACCCCCCAGTTGGCTAAAAAAATAAAACAGAGAAAATTTAAATATCTTTACTGGAGAAATAATTTTTAGCTTCATCTGACAAGTTAACTTTATAGTTACTGGAACTTGAATTACTACTAATAGTTATATAATGGTCTAAAATTAATCAAGACCATCTGTTTTTACTGTATAAATAATTAAGCCATCATTTGGTTGATGAAAAGAAAATGAAAAGGGTGAAAATAGGTAGATAGAAAATGGCAAAAAAACGATTAGAATTTTACATTGTTTTGTATTGAGAGAAAAAGAAAGAAAATGAACAAAGCCAAAGTCAATTTCTCTCTTTTCTTGTTTGGATAAATAGAAAAAGGTAATAGAGAAATTATTAGTTCATGTAAAAGACAAATATGACCCTGCATATAGTTGAAAATGAAGAACAGAAAAAACACAAAACAAAACTCATGAGACCCATGCTTGGTATTAATTTTCATATTAAGTATGCACTTGCAGGCTGCAATCGCTAAGCTACAAGGGAGATGAAAGGTAGTACTGTCATAGCAAGAAAATTAAGGGGGTGTTTAGTTTGAGATGTATTCATTTTTTGTTTTGACTTTTAATTATAAAATTATTATTTTGTTTAATTTAAATTTGATTCTTATTTGTATTCCTGTACAAATCTTTGAAAACAGGAAACAAAGCAAAAACAAGGTGGCATTTTTTGTCATTAAATGTGGAAAAAAAATAAAATTCTCATACCAAATGGTCCTGAAGGTATCTCTCCCGTTGTTTCTGTGTAAATTGCAAAGAATGAAAAACTTCACAGTATCCACACTTGTTTTATCTGTCACCCATTTTTTCTGCTTCACCAAACTAAACAAATTCTCTTCTCCTCACTTTCTCTCTTTCCAAATTCTTTCTTTTTTCTGTCTTCTTTACTCTACATAGTGCAAATATGAACTCTATCCGTAGTGGAGTCAATAGCTTTGGATTCAGTTGCAGTTTACCCTAGGCTGCTTGTAACATAGCACTTGCGAGGGAAAGCCCTTATCAAAGGGTAATTGAGATGAGCTTGAAAGACCCTTTTCCAGCTGGGGAAGCTTTAGTTGGAGTTCTCTTCTCTAGATGATTCTGTTTTCAAAGGCTGATGAGGAGGAAAGCAAGGGTATGGAACAAAGGGTTCCTACGTGGCACTTCTTTTTGGATCAAAGAGAAGAGAAAATTGCTGTCTGTTAGTGGAAGTTTGATGAATTTCTGGAACAGTTGTTTCTATTCCTTGGCATTATTAAATGCAAAGTTTGTTCGTGACTACATGAATATTTTTTATTGCTTCAGATTAAAGTGATCTCTTGGTTTCAACTTCTCTTGCAAAATAAACTCATTGCTTGAAACCTTCAAATGTTTTTCCTGTGTTTTCAATATCCTGTGCAATGGAAAAGAACTTCCCACTTAGTTTACAAACTTCGGGTTTGTGGCTCCTTATTACCTCTCCCCCGCACATGCTTGAGTTTGGTGTCATGAACAAAAGGCTCAGCACCTCTTGTCAGCAGTTGATAAGAAACTAGAGGGCATTGTATTTTCTCCCCCCTTGAGCTGACAGTAAGTTCTCTTTATTGGACTAGTTATATAGCAAGGACTGACTATGTGACGTTTTGGCTATAAAGCTCTCAAGAGGTAGTTGAATTTTACCTTATATTGTTGCAGGAGTTGAGCAATGATTTTATAGTGCAAATTCGTCATTTTCATTCTTCACCTCTACCATAATTTCTGGGTCATTTAAAGATATGCTGAGAGAAGTGATACTCCATCACCCCTCCAAAACTTTCTAAATTTCAACTGTACATACACATAATAACTTATTATTAAGTATGTATTGCACCATCAAGTTTTTGTTTGATTCTCTGCCCCTGCTTGTGCTGATTTTGACTGCACAGTTGTTTCTCCTAGCTTCTCCCTCTTTCTTTTATTTCTTAAATTGTTATTTTCCATTTAAATATCAACTATTGTTTCTAACAAGTGTACCGCTTTTAATTCAGAGGGACCCAAATTAGGATGGCATGAAGCAGCAATTCATGCTCCTGAGGTCAGGGATGCTGCAAATTATGCTGTCAAGTCCATTGCACAGAGGTCCAACTCTGTCTCCTTATGAACTTCTGGAGATTGTTCTAGCCAAGACCAAGGTGAGCAGTTCTATTATTAATTTCTGTTAATAGCATGCTTTCTGTATCTGAGTATTCAATCTCCATTTATTGTACACTTCTGCCCCTTTAATAATTGTTTCTTCCCCTCCTTTCTAGGTACTTATTTCTATTGCTTTTTATGCTTATTTATCTTCTCAATTTACATTCTTTGGTAAAAATGCAGGTCATCAATGATTATGTCAAATTTAACTTGCTTCGGAGGGTAAGCAGGGGAATCAAAGAAGAGAGATTCAAGGTTGAAGTAAAGAAGAAACTAGGAGGAAAGTTTTATGTGAGCTGGATGGAAAAAGATCATTCCTGAGTTGATCAACTAACTGTATTTATTGATGCCAGTGGAGTGATGCTGTATGAAAAATTTACTTTTAGTTTGAACGTGTTACTGTTATGTGCATTGCTCTGAATGTTGTAAAGGGTAGGTAATACGTATACGAACTATTTGAGATACATATGCTACATACCTTTCATGTTTTATCTGTAAATAGTGAGTATATAATTAGTTTGTCTTGTAAATCCATTCTGTTTTAGTGTTCTTGTTTGTATACATGCTTTGTGTTTCTTTTGGTAAAATACCTTTACTACGTTTGTGAAAAGATAACCGATGCGTCGTTGACTAGTTGATGGAGCATGCATATACTCTCACCTGCTATTTCATTTGTCGAGAAATTTTTTATGAGCATAGAACTAACAGTGCATTCATAATCAATCAAAGTATTACAATACATTAGAAGAGAGACAACATGGAAAAATTATGAGAAGGGATTGTTTTGTGTCTAAAGAATGAGTAGTTAAGTTGGTGCTCATATTAGAATTGCAATTCTTTTTCTCAAAGGGGACTTAACAATCGACAAGTAATGCTTAATATAGCATCTGATGTTCATTAAGGTAAACCATTAGCTTCCTTCCACCGAAAAGTAAAAAGTATATAGATTGTGATTTGAATTATAGTTACATAAACAGAGTGATAGCAACAAGGAAAATTTGTGAATGGAATAAAAAGCAACATTATAGGAAAAATTAAATCTCAGCACGCACACGTTTGTACAAGTGTGAGGGAAGCCTAGGAGAGGGCACAGCCTGCAATGGGGTTCTCATGAATGTGACCAATCCAGGGCTCTCTCCCAAGTCAATCTCCTCAGCCTTCATTCCTTCAGGTGGGATCCAACAGAAATGGAAGTAGCCTATAATCATGACCCTTCATGTCCACATCCTCCTCAAGAAATATCTCGGGTCGGAACTCCAATGGATCCTTCCACACGGCCGGGTCACGGGCTACAGCCCATACATTTACATGCACATTTGATCCTTCAGGAATATCGTAGCCTCCAACTTTCACATTGGCATTTGCACGATGTGGGAGCATAGAGGGGTTGGTGGGTGAAGCCTCAGTGCCTCCTTTGCCACATATTGTAGATATGGCAGACTCAAAATGTCGTTTTCAGTCATTATCCTTTCAAACCCAACCACACGGTCTAGCTCCTCTTGGGCCTTCTGTTGCACTCTCGGATTTCTTATCAACTCAGCCATGCCCCACTCTACTGAAATTGCTGTTGTGTCCATCCCAGCTGTGATCATGTCCTATCCAATGAAAAACAATCAACTTTATCAATTCTTTTTTCAAACACCAAAGTTTTAAGAACAAAAATGTTTTTCTAATTTTAAGAATACAACT